CAAAGAAAATCGGTAAAGGGGTGGCTTTAAGATCCGAATTGTGATCCAAAGCTTGCGGAGGAGCACATGTAAAATGTTTAATAATTTTCACGTTAGAAACTATAAAAATCTAACGAACAAGTAGGCTATCCTATCGAAGTTTGTCGCAGACTCAGCTCATCTGGTACGGTGACTGATCTTGTCAGCTTGGTGTGAAATTTATTGCACTCGGCAACCTCTATGAGTTTTGAACCTAGTAAGCCGATTGCCTATGCAGCATAACAAAATAGCCCTGCCATTCTGGCTCCTTTACGTAGACTACATGAAAGAGAAAGAGCTTTCTACCTTTCAACTAATACAAGCTACTTATATATCGTAAGCACAAATTCATCCATCTAAAACTTGTGATCAGTATGAGGAGAGAGCCCTAGTGTAGTGCCTTTTATAAGTCGACTAAAAATCAAAAAGAAATGGTTATTTTGATAGAACGGAGGTACAACACTTCAAAGGGTTAGATACTGCCACAAACCTAAGAAGGCAGAAGCAATTTTGAAGCTGGTTTTCAAGAAAGCAAAACAGCAGTGGTTGAGAAGGTTGACCCGCCTACACCCTGATTCAAGCACCTACAACACGAGTGTTCAAACAGCTGACGAAAGACCACAAAAAGTGTTAAGATATGGAGTTATCCACTTTTAGCAGGAAGTAGCTACTTTTGCGAAACTGATTTGCTAGTGCACGCCCCAAAATACATCTGGATAATAGAGATATGAATTACTCTGGAGGTCCAGATACAACCACGATTAAAAAAGACAGAAAATGCTGAAAGTGATCGGTGAAAATAGCGGCCGTTTTAGAGATTACAGAACAAATAAACTTGAGCGCTGAATTTGCTTACGTCCTGAGTTATGGTAATTGCAATTGCTGTATAGTATGTCAGGCAGGTGCCTAGACATTTACCGACAGATGAGCTTGGTGTAAGTTGGGTATTGCGGACAGGTGGTAGCCGTCGAATAAATACTCGTTAAGAAAACAGATTTCTCTCACTGTCACAACAGATGCAAAATTCGCCAAAAGTTTAGAAGTGAAGAAAGAAAATCCGAAAATGATCCACAAATACAGAACAGCAGTTTAAAAAACGCAAGTGACGTACATGCTCAAGCCTTCAGTCAAAAGGTAAACTTGAGTACAGTGAAGCTTTTACTACTTGAGGACCTAGGCACACAAGCAAAGGCTATATTCTCTACATCCCGGAAAACCGTCTTTATGATAGAATCAAGCATTGTAATTACTTTCTCAACTCCTCGTACATCCAGTAGTAAATAATTCATAAGTTTTTAAGGTTGTGCCAGATGGTTGACCGAGCAAATGATAAAGCTACACATGTTTAACGATGAAATCGAGGGCAAAATGGTAGCTTAACTTGGCTTAACTGGGAAGTGAGCTATTAGCTGGACTGCAAAGTACTTTTGAATGTGGAACATAGAGATCACCAAAAGCTAAAAACTAACCACCTGCATCATCAGGATTGAGAGAGAAGTTGAGGTTCCGAACTGCAGAAGTCGCTCCGTTTCCCGTGGATTGTGCTAAATTAGGGGCAGTAACAACTGCACACCACTCCAGAAAGCTAACCAACATGCGTTTTTGGGTAAGGGAGAGGATTCGAGTCTGGAAAACCTCCCCACGCGATACAGGCACCTAGAATTATTAGGATAGGGATAGAAAGAGCCTACTTTGACAAGAAGAGGAGGATTAGAATGCGACCGAAGACTCGATGATTCAGTACTTCCAGTGGGTGAAGCCGCAATTGTGGTGGTCCCTCGATCATCTGCTCCGTCGGGATTAAAGAAGAGAAGTCGATTGACAGAACGGAACTCCAGATATCGGGTGACATCGGAGCGTATCAGTGCCTGTACCATTGGACTGTCGGCAAAAACTAGCTGCAGCATAAGTACTCCATTTTAACAACAACCAGAAGACAAGAAGACAGGAAAAATAAACAATGTGTTACACGTGGTAAGACGTCAAAATCTGCTTTTCTAAGACCTTCAATCAGGGTGCTTTTAGTCCAAATGGGAGTTGGAGCGTTCACAGGAAGTGGAGCCACCTTTGAGGATGTCGGTGAGGGCAGAATCTGTTCCGACTCTTGAGGGGGTGGTTTTGGCACCATCGAATTTTCGGCGACATCTTCAGTTGACGAGAGTGTTTCAGCAAGAAGAGCTTGTGTTTCATCTGATGTTTGAGACACCAGTTTTTCGACATCTCTGCGATAAAGCGAGGAAACCTTCGCAGTATTTGCAAGGGAAATTACATTCTTACAGAATAAAACTTACGGAATGAGGAAACTCGAAAAGCAGTTCCGAATCAGAGGATTGTTTAGAGTAGAAAGATTGAGTTCTGTGGAAGCTGATTGCGCTACACCACCACTATTAGTCGCGGGAGAAGCAGACTAAAAAAAGTTTCGGAAATTTTACTCGACTATCTTACCCACTTGTCAAACTCTCTGAGTAAATCGGAGAACCGGAAAGACGTCATATAGCCCCCATAGAAATCGTGACTGAGATCGTAAACGTAAACCAAGCTTAAATTACCTGTCGAGATGAAGAACTGAGGCACCAACAATAGCTAAACTGGCAGCAATTATAGATTCTGTGAGGCCTGAAAATGAGATAATTTACATTCACTGCGAACAAACACATCGGGTTTTCATTAAGATGAACAACGAATCCTGTGACAAGTAGAAGCGGAAAATATTCAAGTCAAGTAATCAATGAATCCAACTGAATGTAGTCTCTGAGGTACCTGTTCCAACAACAACGCAATCAACATCGTCAGGGCAGTCCATATTCATCGGCATTATTCAAAGTTACCGACACCCTCGCCGATAATTAGCAAAAGCGAGAACTTATGTTGGGCGGGAATCGACACAGTGCGTTAAACGAATAAGCCAAACATGATTGCTTGTGCTGCTGTCATTTTAAGGAAAAGGTAATAAAATGTTTTTGTCTAAGTCAAGGCAGCCTTTAAAGTCGATGAACTTTATTAGTACCTGATCTAAAACTACGTAGAAGTGTCAAAATTGTGCCTAGTGGCTAAAGTGATTCAAGGCGAAATCAGTCATTTCCTAAGCCGTTAACATTTTCATCTAGCAGAGTTTTAGGCAAGACTGCATGATTTTTTTGAGGAAATATCTTTTTAATCTAATTTTTCCGCTATATTAAATACGGTTGCGAAAAATATGTGCAAACTCTACTGAAGACGAAATCACTTATCCATTATGCCCTTTATCACAAAGAAAATTTAACTATTAGTGGTCCACTATTCTGCCTGTAGCTGCTATGTATAACTACGGGCGATTTCTACTCCCTTCAATATTTATCCTGATTTCAGCATTAAACTTTGCTTTGCGGCAATATTTTCAAATCACACGGCATTGAGCCGTCGATGGAACGTCTTCTGCTCGAGACGAACCAATCCACCCCTCTACCGACTAAACCGCACATGCAATAAGACTACTAAGAGGCACCAATACTGTACCAGCTTAACCCCTATAAGGACGTCACCTTGAACCCGCCTCAAACATGATCGCCACCTGCCCGTGTAGGAAGCTGCTAGGCGTCCATGTTAGGTAACCTCACCGATCCTGCAAACATCCCCACATCGCTTATAGAAAATTCACATATTTTATAATTAAAGTGCGGCAAAAAAAGAGATTATTTACATCCAGTTAGGAGGAGAGGAGGACAACACCAATTCCTACATCTGAACCAGACACACACCGGAGGATCGAGGGCAAAAAAGTAACCATAGATGGCCATAATAGTAGTCATAGCGATGGCGGTGGTAGCGGTGCAGATTGGGTAGATCTACTCGGCTTCTAAGGTGTGGGAGTGGATCCAGATGTGCAGCTGCCCTCATCCAGGGCACTGGAGGTCGAAGTAGCGGTGGAGAGGGAAAGGGGTCGTCTCAATGACCTTCGACTTTTATGCCGATCACCGCGGTGACTGTTGCCAGCGAGGACTCTCCGCAGCACCGCTGAGTAGTCGTTGGAGCGCAGAAATCGCGCGTAAGAATCCGATTTCATGAGCTTATATATCTGCTGTTGGGCATCCATAAAAACGTACCATGACGGATTCTGTCAAACACCAAGGAAATAGTTTGAGAAAGTTTATAACTCTTTATGATAAGTGTGGTAGGTAGGCAAGAGTAACGTTAAATTGCCACTTGTAAGGTCACAACTTGGCCTAAAAATTCAATTAAATTTGAATTCCCACAGTACAGATATTTGTTTCTAGCTACTATCACTATGACAGTAGTGAAAAGCCAGAGAGAAAGGAGTTGGTAAGACAGTTGTGGCGCAGTATGGAAGGCTGGCTGGTAAAGAAGTAATGCATTGCGAGAAAATAGAACGGGTACTTGACAGTTAGTAAGAGATCACTGTTAAAGAACTACAGTGAGAGCTGCACCAAGAGATCAGGTGAAAATGAAACTACTGGTTGTGGAACCATTTCCAGTGGTGACTGTTATGTTAGCACTACCGTCAAATCTTAAAAATTAAACTTGAACAGTAAATGAGGAATCTTTGAGCTCCAGGAAGAACACTCATTAATAAAAAGGCAATGATAGAAGGTTAATGCCTTAAAATAATGATCTATGGATATGTGGTAGAATCAAGAGCCTAGCCAGCACCCAGTTCTGAATAAGCAGGGAACCAGTAACAACAGAACGACAGCGACATTAGCACTGGTGAGTAGTCAACTGCAATATCAGATCAGGTTGAAAATAGAAGCGAAATTGGCTAAAAACAAATTTAATATGACGCAACGTAGCCACCCTTACGACTGCCTCAAACACTGAATTTAAATATATTTGCATAAAAAATTAACATAAAAATGCTAGTCTCGCTGTGGACAGATACTACGAGAACGAGGATAACTTGGAGGTGCTGTTTAACACTTCAATAGGATTTGATCAAGCTTAATGAATTGCAACAACTACTAAGTCAGGCTTCCAAAACCAATGTTATTTGGAATAAGACGAGACTTAAAAGGGGAGAAGGACGCATTTGTAAGCATGCATCGGGGGTAAACAACTATAGTTTTTCCGTCCAGAAAAGACGCATTAACCAAAGGTACACGCGATTCACTAAGGAGGATATTGATGTACTGCTTCAGGAATGGGAAATAATGCATAGCTAAAGAGGAGTTTGTTGACAGCAGCCAACCGACAGTAGGCATTGCTGGAAAAAAAGCTCAGCAAAGGAGAGTTATCCTACCGACTGAAATAGCCTGGAAGGGAAATAAATTAGCCATTTTAGTAGTTTTGGCAGTTAATATGGTCGCTTTCAAGATACGTCTGGAAAGGATCCATCATATTTATGCAACCGAGGCCTTTACCACATAATGGAGCCTGAATGCGTGAAGAGGAATTTATTAACCTTGGTCAACCAAAAACGCTGAACAAGTGCAAAAAAAATAAAACAGAAATGAAAGCTAATCAAGGCCTAAACTATGAGTGATTATAAAGCAAACACAAATAAGAATAAATGAGCAACTGCGGCCTCCACGCTCCAATTGGTCTACTTAAAAACACGAATAACAAGCAACCACCCCTTTTATCCTAAATGAAATATTTATCCCACAACCGTAGCAGAATGGTAATTGTACACCTAACTTTGCACTGGCAGTAAAGATGGACTCTCCAACAATAGATCAGGGTGTCAAAATCTCGTCTACCAATAAAAGACCCAAGCAGGCGTAAATGACCTACCTTAACGGCCTTGGTAGTGTTAGCTCGGGTGCTGCAGTCAATGTTGATTTCAGAGGGTGCATTAGGCCCAAGAAATTCATCGTAAATACGCTGACCGGCTACTTTGAGGTTTGATACGGGAGTGAATTGGTACGCGTTCACACTGAGCCAGAATCGCAGGTTCTCCGAGCTGAACTCCTTCTCCAGAAAGGCTTTGAAGGCCTGGCAACCGCTAGGATCCCAGAGGAGATTGTCAAAGCTGGTCGCCCACAGTCGTACCTGGAGGTTTGTAGGCGGATTAAAATGAGCCGTTTAAACTCGTCCACTTTTCTACGTTTTGTACGAAGGTATAAAGATGAGAGAAGTGGGGGGAGGGAAATGGTTGTTTCTCGGCTTGTCAACTGACTATCGCTGTTTTACAAGCCAATCACCCTCGAAATTGGATAATAGGTTACCACTGGGATGGAAATAACCACCAAAACTACCCATAAATCGCTCCGAGGTGAAACAGCATTTAGTCATCCACTTTTCGTGAACAGAAGATATGTAACACAGCCAAAATCTGGCCCTCACCGTTGCATGGGCTCAAGGTGAGGGTTGTACCCCTTGGTTGTCATCCATGGGTGGATCAACACATTTATTTTTCCTTATTTCTATGCTTTTCTCATAAAGAATAAGGATAGAAGGAGCAGTAATTGGTTGTGCCTGAGTTCGCCATTTGGCTATAGCTACCTGGCAAGCTCGATAACTTCGTAGTTCAACGCAAGAGTTACCATCCTGTAGTGAATATGGTTGCCGAACGTGTAAAATACTTCTAAAAAAAGAAGGCTATTCCACGCAATTTTGTGAGCAGGATGTACTAATGCATTGGGAGAAAATATTTAGAGACGGTGGCACATGTACTTGGCAAGAAAAATGAGAAATACCATCATCTAACCACTAGCTAAAAAATCAGAATTCAGTCACACGCATCTGCGTGTAGGGAACAAGCCGAGAACACACATTACCCCCGACATTAGTGCTTGGTATGAAAATTAATTTCCCCCGTAGAGTCGTCTACGCGTGGATTGAAAACGTCAAATAACTCAATGAAGATGGCAGACACAGAGGGGGCCGACGTCCACCCGTATCTATGGAAATGTAGAATGAAGACTTTGTATAAACAGAATTGAACGATTTGTAGACTGTAGGCAAGAGTTCAGCAAAGCGGTTATCTAAGCAACTGATAGAAGAGCATAAGCGCAAGTGCTTAGACATTGGCTCCCAACCACTGACTCGCTACTGTGAATAAGGCAACTGCCTTCCTCATCAATAAGGGAGGTACGGCTATGGGAAGCAGCCATTCCAAAGAAATATAAACAAGTAGCAAGCTGACGAAAATTGGTTTAACAGCAGCCGTAGAAAGGTCCGAACTGTCCTTATTTTGAGGTGGAAATAACGTCAAAACATGCACAAGGAATCATGAGAGGGTAGTTGTGTTCATCACTGAGTAGATAATGCCAGTTTTTATCCACTTAAAAAAATTTAATGAACTAAATACTCCTACAAATAAGGAACCTAATCGCCTATTTCTGATTAGATATTTTTATTGTATTAATGGGAACCGTAAATTAACCACCAGTGGTAGGTCAATATGATATTCCGACTGGTACTTTCCCACGTTCCACGCCATCAACTTACGACCTCTTATCCAACTAAGGGGTGGACAATAAGGCGAGCAAACGAAGAAGACGATTGCAGTTTTCAAAAACTACCAACAGCAAATGGTGATGCAACACGCAATGTTAGGCAAGAGGACAAGGCACCACCCAGGTGGGAGGGTAATTACCCAACTGCCTGTAATGCATGCTCAGCGAAGCTGGTAGCTGCTGCTATCCACTAAAAAGCAACTGAGAGCACAAAAAACTCATCAATTTCGGCATTTCCATCGGCAAAGGCACCACTAGAAGAAAAAGCAATGGCAAAGAGGGATTCCCTTGTATTATTGAGAGCGGCATCAACTACGCCCTCTTTCCCAATTCCTGACGGTACAGAGCTGACTTGATCGGCGTACGAGGCAGACATGGCTCATCAGCAAATGGACAAAGTGCATCTAGTAATAGCGTCGTGAGAGCCAACGGTTAATGGCTTCTAAGTATGCCCACTTTATCGTGACGATACTATGATTAGGCTAGACGGCAGGTCCCGATGGGGATAATCAAAAGTTGAGTTAGATGTTCATTTGCATGATAGAATAATGACGGATGTTGGCATGACTGCTTAAGTTGTGCGCGACAACTTGAAAACGTTGCATTCCAGCACGAAGGTTATATCAAAAGTCACCAATAGCATATAGAATCGAAATGTCTGCAAGCGAAATGAGACCTACGTTTTGATATTCTTTGTGCAATTGTATCATGAAAATGGGGTATAATGGCACTAAAACAAACGGAGCACATATTAAATCGAGAGGTGTCTATTGAGTTATAAGTTTGTCCGCAATGTTCGGCTAATTTAAACCCTTAAGCGAAAACGCTTTAGAAAAGTGAGTGATTTTATTCGTCAACCAAAATATCCATCCAAACGAAAAACATATCGAAGGAGCAATACACTTATTGTTTCATTTAGCCTAAAACCGTCAATCCATCTACCAATTTGTTCATTCACTCATCTAGCCGATCCTCCACCTACTCACCTAAACATTATCAAGTAGTGGAATCAGCTAATAAACGAATAAAGGAGGTGGATGATGAGCTAATGAATGGACGCACAGTACCACATAAATATGCGTGTATAATGTGAGGAACGAACGCGATGATAGGCAAAAATATATAACACAAAATTACCTGATTAATAGTAGGGAATGGAATGGATGGATCATCAAGAGGCTCAGTACAGGGTTCAGCCTGAGGGTCAGTGCTCAAACAAGAACCCAGAGGTGTAGAGGTAAGGAGTGAATCACACGTAGGTAGTCCAATCAGCGGCATACATGGTGAGGTCTCTATGTTACTCGGCTGGCTCAGCCACGGAGATGCAGCATGGAAGGAGCAAGAACCACTGCCAGCACCACCCCCACCAACTTCGCCCAAAAACCAGTCATAGGAACTTCGATTGGCAGCAAAATAGAGAAGGTTTTCTATGGACTTCTTGGCGCTCAAACACAGGTGGGAGTGGGGTAGGGCTTGCGGTGGCGGCTGCCGGGGAGATAGTGGAGCTCGCGGTTTTGGCAAAGTGCGAGGCTCCAATGAACGCAGCTGAACTAAAATATGGTGATATTTATTTCAATTATGAAGCAAAATGTGCGGTTCTTTTAAGCCTTCAACACTGGTTAAGCAACATCTCGTTTATGACACCGGTGGTGCTATTTCCCTATCCCTTCCAAGTGTTTATTATAAAGCTAAATCCAGACACGAATAATTGATAATGACCATCTGATGTGATTTGACTTAAAAGCTCCCCAGTAGGTGGAGTAAAAAGTTAATTGAATAATCAAAAAATATACACTTCCTATCCTTTTCTGACGAAATGCTGACGTAGGCTTGTCTCCACGTCAACGGTCGTCGGATCATATGCTCATTACGTGGAAGCCGTTCTTCAAAGCAGCTAAGTCTGCTTGGTGGCGGTCTGTGAACACGCCAAAATGCCCGCTCCTACAATCAGGAGTAAGATTTTTAATATAAAAACTATGTGCTCAAAAAAACAAATACACAACCTTTATGTGAACAATTAAGAATTTTTAAGTTAGAGGTGTACTAGCCTGGGCTTCAAGAACGATTTGATCAATCTTGCGGCGATCCCTATGAAGTCTCTCTTGATCTGCTGCCTGCATACAAATAAAATCCCACTTTCGGGCAAGGACAATTTGCAAACGATGTAAAGCTCTCTGTTCATAGTCTTCCAGTCCATATCTTTGACGTTTACGCAATGTGCATCTGACTAAATATATTGCATAGTCCATTTGATCAAACTTTGGAACCTTCGATATCCAATAATAAGGCGCCTTGAAGGTAAATGAAGACAACAAACATTACCTGAAATCGGTAGAGAGCAGTCGGGTCATCTTTGACCGTATATGATTCATGATCCGTTAGTGGATAAACGTATCCGTACAGCAACAAGATATTAGCGATATGAGCCGCCTCCTGTGGATCATCGATTTTTAGATAAAGCTTAATCCAGGCTATCAGGCTGTCACCGGAAACGGCAGCAGGAATAGATGTGAGGAAAACTTTTTGAGGCCTAATTTACCAGCTTCAAGAAACCCAACTAAAATGTACTTAAAGCTGATGCCGGTATCCGTTTCATGTATGGCTTTAATCAGATCCTCAATTTTTCTAATTTCATCATGCAACCCCATTTTTGCAAACGTCGCAAAGCCATCCTCGATTGACATCCCATCGCCCGTCTAATGTGCGGCTTAAAGGCCATTGTAAATAGGTAACTCAAACAATAAAATGCCAAAGAGTGCAAAAAACAGCTGCTTGAAAAAACTCCTATTTATCAAAAAAATTTGCTCATCTTTATGATCGCAAGATCAGAATCTGCTTCTGTCATAAATAAGTGCAAACTTCAACCGCGAGCTCTAATTTTAAATGGCACTCAGCAGATTAGCTTATAAATGGCGTCCATTGTACCTAAAGATGGAAAAGAATATAATGTTAAAGAATTGACGTGGTTATGGGGGCTAATTTTTGGGCGAATTCTGATGCTAGGTTAGCGATGAAAACTTCGTGGTTTCGCTCTCAGCATTTGCAAATGGGAAAATTCCTAACAAATTTGAACAATTTAACTAAGAAGTGCCACAAAACTAAAAAATCTTTGTTGCCCCATAGTACGTCGTGTCGTGACCAGCAATGTTAAAAACGTCATTATAAATAGATTACCTTCTTCCAAATAATTTGGAAGTGTAGAGGCGCAAACTAAAAACTCCTTAGTGTTCGTTCACTTAGGTACACAGTTTGACTAAGTGCCCACCCACCACAGAAAAGTAGATCAAAACCTTGTGAGAAGCTTGGTCTACCGTGAATTATGCCATCAACAATTTAGACGATCTGATAGTGACCTCTCCAAGGTAGCTTTTATGATGAGTAAGCTAAGAAATCACAAAGGTCACTTTAACCTTCGCGTTCGGATGCCAGTAACTCATCATTTCAGATTTTACAGCGCCAAATACCATTTCCATAAGTTTTCTTAGAGTTCAGCCTGCAATTTTTTTAGTTCAAGAAAAATTACTTTTCAGTTCTTGCTTTTATTACGTATTTTAACCTACCATCATTATATCCGCAACTTTAAATGCTTTTATTTCATAGCCCTATCTTGGCAAAGATGATCGTCAAAATATATTTTGAAGTGTGTCTATGCTTTGAATTTTGTAATTAAAAGTAAGAGTGGCCTTTTGCATGCATATTTCAGCTTTGCTACACATTAGTACATTGCTTATGAAGTTCGTTTATTCATTTAAAATACCTTAAATGACCTTACATGCTTCATCCACCCAATGATTTACGCACGGGGTGGGCTTTGCTGCGATAATTTGATTGGCGCTGCTCGATTCTCCAGGTTTCTCCGGCCCTTTTATTGTAAGTTTCTTCCGTGTGTTGGGGACTTCTTCTTCCCGTTTTCTAGGCTCGAGTATGCTCTCATTCACAGCATCGTGCATTTATTTTGATTAAATCTTCAAAATCTTTGATTGGTCTTTGTATGTTATAATTTTCAAAATATTATTCAGTTTGCATATTTAGCTTTCTAGAAGTGTGCTCCTTAACTTTACGCATTCTAAGCAGTACTTCATTTTTTGTAAAATTATGAAAATTATGGAAATTTGTGGAAGCTTGTTGCACTTATGGTGATCCTAATTAAAAATTTCTTGTTTTCCTAGATGACGTCTCCGTCTACCAGTTCTAGTGGCTCACCCAAACCAAGTCGGCAGTATAACCAGCAGTTTCAAGATGCTCTTCACTACCCTAAGCGTTCCTTTTATGGACTTGAGCAGCGCCTCGTCAACGTCTCCGACGAGGATGGGTCAGATGATGAACCACATCGGCGTTTGCCCGTAACAACAGGAAACCTGAACAAGTGGACCAACATGCTTCATGGATGGCAGGAGCGTTACTTTGTACTGAAAGATGGTGTCCTTAGTTATTTTCGCAATGCTGATGATGTTGCTGGGGGCTGTCGTGGAGCCATTCGCCTCAAGAATGCTCAGGTTCAACCTCACCCCTATGATGATTGCCGAATTGATGTACGTTAAATTAGCTATGCTGACCAGTTGGTCGGATTTTTCCGGTGTTTTTATGTGCGTACGCATGCTGTGCAATTTAACGTTTGGCTGACTAAAAATTGGCGTTTGTCGTCCTTTTATATGTTTACACTTTTCAAATGTCAAATTCTGATATGTTTCAGTCCACCTCTAGTTTGAACTATCTATTCAAATAGGATAGCCAATACTTTAACAACACAAAAAACCTCTTTATCTTAATGCTAACTTGAGTTTACTTTGCTGCCACTGTAGCTGGTACAAATTTAGTAGTCAGAAATTGGAACTATCTGAGGCTCACGCCTTTGTAATGCCCAGTTTGAAACCTTGCCTATCGCTCAATTCTTTTTTAACGTTGTCGGTCACCGTCGCATTTATTTGTAATGCGGCATTGTGAATTAGCACGGGAAATAAGCCGTATATTATTTATTTATGCTTAAGTATGAATTCAGGAGTCGTTCTTTTACCGTATTACATGAATACGGTGCTCCATCAATTAGTACGATGCGTTTTTCTGGGATTGTGTAATTTAGCCTAGCAGTTAAACCGTATGTGACTTATGAATTTCTTGCACTACTTAAAGTTAGAAATCCTGTAACTTGACCTTGTGACGAGTACGAAAGCCATAATTTTAGTGCTGTATCGTTCTTTCCTTGCATTTTCGTTTGATTCTGTAATTTGCCTTAGGACTGGCAAAATGAAGTAGATGTATGGACTTGGGCTAAGTTAGAGCCAATTTAGCAACATCCCTAAATGTTCATGATGATATGATAGTCAAGTTGCTCCAATTGTTTTATCGATCTTTCATAGGTGAGTCTGGGAGACTCCACTTGGTACTTCCGCTGTCCCTCAGCTCAGTCTCGGCGGCACTGGGTGGAATGTATCGAAAAGCATCGATTAGCAGAGTCAGGCTATAGTTCGGAGCAGGCCCTGACAACGGAGAGCTCTCTTCTCTCCCTCAATTCGATCACCTCGGCCTCCAACCTCGGCGGTTCCGGGCTTCTCCGTGGACAAAGTCTTTTCGATGGAGTTGCCGAGATCGAGAGCCTCAAGTGAGCTTAAAGGCTTCCCATACTTGGTTCATAAATTGCAGGCTTTAGCGGGTCTCCGTTCCTGCCTCTTACAGCTCATCCATGTTTAATCTCTTGATAAGTTGGTTTATTTGTTGCATCTTTCTGCTCCTCCTTATTATGAAGAGGTTGATTAAATGATCCATGAGCTTTCATGCCAAATGCCACTGCAAACGTCCATGCAAGTGAGCACGCGCAAGATTTTTTATGTCTTTACACGTGATGCAGCTTGCACTCAACTCACAGTGTGTTCACGTAACTGGGTTAAAGGGTTGGGTCTGTGAGACATGGAGTTTCACTTGGCACAAGGCAGAGGCGGTATCACTGTTGATCGGCGTCCTAGTGTTCACTTTTATTATTTAATTTGGTGAAAAAGTCCCCGTTTTTGTATGTAGGTAGCTGGTATTTCTTGCTGCAATGCCTCACGCCATCGCTGGCAAAAAGTTGCCGCAGCGGGTAGTCATTATTAGCAGTCAATGCAATAGAGTTGCACATACACACGTATTGACGCACACAAATCCACAGAGATCTTTTGTAGCTCCTTTTTCTAACGTTTCTAGCACTGTCACGGTAGGTGATTTCGCGTCTTTCTCCCGCTCTATTTATCCACCTATCCATCCATCCATCCATCCGTCTATCTGATTTTTCAGGAAATTTGCACTACCGGCATTTATTCGATTAGTTCAGGGTCATGGGCATCTCTCGCGCAGATATGGTTTTTTATCTGATGCCCTTACCTGTATTTTCTTGATCCTGGAAAATTAAAGTGCACACACGCGCAAATGGGGGTGGGTATATAAACTAGTGCACACACACACACACACGGATCGAATTGTTTCCCAATTTCATTTTGACAGGATCCCCTCTGTATGCTTGTACAAACACCTCCACAACTCCCCCTAATTGTCAAGTTCTTTTTCTTCTTCAACTCTAACGTGACCTCACATAGGTTTTAACATGTATCTGCAATAAAAGTACTCTTTTCCTCCTCGTTTTTTTCTCTCCTTTTCTCTGCTTAATTGTTTTTTGGAAAATTAGTCGAAATCAGCCAATTTGTGGCAAACTTATTACGGTTGTTCTCTTGTGGTCCATCATTTTCCCTGAATTTTTCGTGTAGAATGATACATCATTGCTGCTACCCCTGAGTCCTTTCTCCTAGGAGCCGAAGCAAACAATAGTCCCTTTCGCATATGTACGAGTAGGTGTGAGGAAGGCTGAAAGATTGGTATCAGAAATGACTGAATGAACGGAATGCCATTGCTTCCAAGGCGTGGTGACTGAAATCTACGAGAGCCGTTACATTAGCGTCGTCATCTGTGTTCATCGCAGTTATTTTTACTGAGAGTCGTACCTTTAAATGTGAATGTATGCTGTACTTCTTTTTTTCAAGGCTGGAAGATATTTAGTCCCAAAATTAGTGATTTTGGCTGTTTGATAGTTGCGACTTCTTTGGAAGCTTCATCACAGAGACTCATTGGCCCTGTGCAACATCAGGTGGGTCAATGCTCTTGCATTCACTGCGCGTAGAAACGGGACATTTTGATAAGGTTCATAACTTAAATTTGCTTCACGGCAGTGATACTCAAAATCCGCGTTTCTGCTTCGAGGAATTTGGAGGAGTGCTATTTCTAGAGCGTTCTCGTATGATTTCACTCAAATTGTCAGTTGCCTTACTGTGAAAAACAAGATTTGGATTATCGCCAAAATGCGGACGTTACTTCGACAGGCCTTCTGTTAAGTTCCTATGGGATTAGTCACACCCACTACACGCCTTCTTCTACGGTGCTTATTCGTACTCAGAAGAATAACTCATATTTGTTCTTCTAAAAAGCTTTTCTTTATCGTTACCTGTGTCATTCTTGGAGTCGCACATGAGAAATATGCGTCGCATGCTTCATATATTGAAGGCATGGGTTCGGATAAACAGATCTGTCTGACAGCTAACAAAAATGTTGTAAACCGAAATCTGCGGAGACTGAAGAACCCGTGTGGTTAAATTATTGCCTTGTTTTATTGCCTACCTCTCAAGTTGTATCGTAATGCGATTGAATCTCTGCTTTCTTGGTACCACAGGACAGTGCTATGTCAGCAGGCAGAGAAGATACTGGTCTACCTGGAGACTTGCCACCGAATAGCAGTGCAAGCTGAAGAAGCCGGAGGCTATGAACTTCTTTTAGAGTCCGCAGTGTTTGAGGAGATCCTCTGCCAGCTGCGTCGGGAACTGTCAACTTTACACGCGACTCCGCCTCATCGCATTTCCGCAACATTGGAGAAGACACCGCAACCGAGTTTCGAGGAACCTAACGCGGATACTGATGATAGGGACTCCCTTGTCTCGGACACGGTAAGTGGAAGTAGGAGAAAGAAAGTCTATACCTCTAGGTCTAAAGCTATTGTAAACATTGTGCGTTGGCATTAGCAACACCTTTGAGTCCTTTAACCATTATTTTCTTTAAGCTGAACGAGGAAGTAGTCACGTGATATAGGGAGGGTACTTGAGTTCATTCACATTTTTGTGGCTTTTAAAAACTGTGTTTAAGTTAAAATTGTCAATTCAAGTAGTATTAATGCATCTGTCATTAAACATTTAAAAGTGAGTTTTGAAGCCAACGCTTTACTGTACTGACTGGCGCCTCATTCTCGATGGTTACTGCCTCTAAAATATGAATACGTGCAACTTTTGGGTAGTCTGCGATTTACACTGGGTATAACCTCCTCAATAGCTGAAGCAGACATTGATGAGTTCCTAGCAGTACTGAACTGCTCGCTAGCATCTCCCTCAATGACATTTCAAATGTTGAGGTTCGAAATAAGAGAGCTAAAGCATCAGGTGTTGAATATATTTCATCTGCATTCTTCTGTGAAGAGGGAAGTTTTGATAAAACGGAGACATTCTTTGAGCAGTTTTCCCATTCGGGACCTGAGAGGCGTATCAGGTTTTGAAATATGTACTGTATTTAAACACGATTATTGTGGGACCCAAGAAAGTGTTTGCATTTATTAGTTCACGATCAAGACAATGTAAACAAAACCTTTTTTAATGTCCCGTATTGCAACCGTAGTTTCCAGTATTTTGAGATTATTCGAGAACTACATCTTTCCTTAAAGTTGGATTTTTGGAGCAATCACTGTTTCCAAGTCGCTCTAAAATATAATTCTGAATAAATGAATGAAATGAAATGTTTTAAAACTTTGGACTCATTCCAAGGCGGTATTTCTAGTGTCGACTGGAGACTGCAATCAGTGGCTAAAGTAATGAGACCTGCGAATCTCAATGTGTGGATTGCAACCAGTCCGATTTCCTAGTGTAGACTGAGCTAAAGGTGTCCTTACGATTTTTTTTCCCGGTGATACTCTCAGACGAGGGATTTGACGATATATCTACAAGTGTCTAGCATAGCCGATTGTCTTGGAAGGTGAAATGTTAATGTCTGTTACAACTTTAGAGCTCCGACGAGTTGATCTACTCTTCTCCCCTTCCTGGCGATGCCACACTGATGCGGCAGAACAATGGCCGTCCAATTCATACAACCGATTCCTTACCTGCTGTCTTCTTTAATACTTCTCCTGCGGCGCCTCGTGCCTCATCTCCCAAGACAAACGGTGTTGTTTCACCAGACTCTGGGGATGAGGGTACCAAGACACCGAAGGCTGGTTCTTCTTCACGTAGTTGCGGAAGTGGTGGTGGGGGTTTTTTTTCCCGTTTTCTACCCTTTCGTGGCAACCCCAACAGCAATATCAATGCCTCCGCTAATGCTGCCTTTCCGGGTGCTGCCAATTCCACTGTTGGAAATCAGTCCAAGTCATCGACTTTTTCGGTGAATTCAATTTATCTCGCGTTCGTTAACGCTTTTGTCTAGCTTTACACTGCACATGCTTTCGGCGTCAACTCATCTTGTCTTCATGTGAAAAGTCGTGCTCAATAAGCCTGTGGAATATGACGTGGAACAAATTTGAAATAACTCCTTCTCTACAACTCCCTTTCATTTATCGCTCAAGCCACAAATTCATTATTTCTCTCACTTTACAAATATGAACCTACACAAGCAAGCTTTCTTGCTGACACCTTGGCTGGCTCAAAGACCACCGAACGTTGGCTCATCACAACCCAAATGTTTTATTGTGTCGGCACGATACCGACTCCCTCCACTTTGTTTTGCATTCCAAATGTGATGCATTCTTGACTCAGTGAAGGATGTGGGGGTGGCGCATGCGCCCTACGATGATAGCGAATGTGCTGACGCGACTGATTCATATCACATATATGAACTGCAAATCGCTTGACTGACTTAACAGTAACGATTGTGCGAACAGCTGCGAAGAGAGGGCGAGAACATGTTGACGATTAGAGCTAAGGTTGATACTGCCTTCTCTCGCTTTCTTTTGTAGACACGATTGACAGATTTGAAGTTTGAAACTCTTGGATGAGATTTCTCCATGATCACTCAGTTCCACTATCGATAGTGATGGTATTTGCACACACTACCGGTGATTTCACTGCATTCGATGGATGCGTGTATCACCAGTGCTTGATGTCCATTCCATCAGAGCCAAGAGAAATTTTGCTTTTAACGCGGGATTATCCAATCCCTGTATAAAACTGGTGTGGTCTCGCTACCAGATGGTCATCTTATTTGTACGCAAAATTGGGATCACCGAGGCCAAAGAGGCCTTCAAAGTTTGATCATCAAAAGGGGTTGGTGAATCTACCCGTCCATCGGTGTTAGCTATTTATCTTTGTTCCGTGTTCCCAACATTTGCTTCTAGGGGAACGTCAAGGCAGAAGAGCTATCTAGACAGCCAGAATTACTGCAAATACCCTCTTGGAATCCAAAAACTGCCCCTTTCCTGACTGTTTTAATCTGATTCCTGGTCCTTGTCAAAGGCAGCAAGTGTGTAGTTCTTCAGTTGGTTTTGTATGAGCCTATTTTTTTATTTTGCCGATGCATGTCCACAGTTTTTCAATGACTTGTGTTTGTGTACCATGGCTTTGTCACGCAGATACCCTGGCCTCGGAGCGACGCTTGTGGTTGTGAGCACCTACCCCCTTGATTAAATCATTTACGCTACTGTACACACATTGGACGCATAAAACATAGGTCATCAGTCAAAAATGTGCATCTCATGGTATGTGAGGTCCATGTTTGGCACTGCAGTCCTTAAAAAACATTGCCTTTTTGTCATTTGCACCACGTGATGATATGTGCACCCCACTGATCGTTGAAGGATGACGATTTAGAATGACAGTGCACAGGGAACGTTTCCCCAACTCTAGAAAGCCTTGTTTGACGAACAGCTGTCCATCAGTTTTGAAATTTATGAAATTCCCTCCCAGAAATCTACACCTCGCATTTGAGCTTTCTGCTCATTCTAGAAAAGAAGAGTAGGAGTCGTTCTAAGTGATCTCATCCGCACGACAAGTTCCCCATCTATAAATGGCTTTTTTATCCATCTGAATTGTTAAATAACGCAATTCATATTGCGTGAAATGTGATATAGTAAATTTGTTTAAAATCACTGTTTTTGCTTTGTAGAACAAAGGCAAGAATAGATCGGAACCATCGCTCCGCGCCTCTCGAATGCATGACTTGGGCATTCTTCTCAATCACTTTGGTGCAATGTCCATTGAGTTTGGAACGGAGGTGAATCTCTTTAGGGTGAGTTACATGTTCATTGTTCCCTAATTAAGGGTATGACTTTGTGAACTCCTTAATAGCGGTAGCCTTCGGAGGGTCCTTGTTGTTAGGGTAATGCTGCTTGGCGCTCAGTGTAGCATTTCAGGGTACTAGACCGGAGTCCGAGGTAGACAGTTTGCATCCACTATCTTAACAGCAAACGTTTCAATGTTTAATTTGTTTGAACAGTTCTAATTAATTTGCCATCAGTTAAGGTATCATAGGACGCTCCAATCTCACTTCAATGCTGCAGATAGGGCACCCTGACTGCATTCCCTCATTCTATTTTGACGATTCACGCAAGAGCACTTCCATCACTTTTGCTATTCTGAGGTCCCAGCAGCATCGCATCTTTCAAATGGCATATTGACAGGGCGCAAGAAAAGCGGTCCATCCCTCTTGCTTACTACTCGTGCATTTCCGTCATTACAGAGCACATCCTCGGCCCTTCAATTAGCTCTCACTCGGACCATGGAGGTCTTCAATCAACGTGAGGAAACTTGGCGTCGCCGCCTTGAGCGCGAGACAGAGCGTCGACGCACTTTGGAGCGTCAACTGAAAACCGCACAGGAGGCGGCAGCTGCTACACGTCTCAACGCTACTCTTCTGACCCGTCGTGGTATCCAAATGGTGCCGGGCAAAGCCCATCAACGCAGTCACAGCCATGGCGGTCAACTCTTTCCCCAACTGTGCATGCCTCCGACCACCGCTATCACCGCCGCCGGTGCTGTCTCTACTTCGCCCGTTGCAGGTGGGAAGATGTTCATTGTTGAGGAGGGAGGTCCCGACTTTGCCGAGGGTGGCTCCGAATACAATGTTTGCGAAGAGCACTTCTATGACGCGATTGATGCGCAGATTGACAAGATGCACCGTGAGTGGCAAAAATATTTCATGTGATTGGCTGTGAGAATGTTCATGTGAGTGTGATAATCTGCCCTACTCTACTACGTTTCGCTGACGCAAATGCCATTGTTGACTTGGCTTTCTTCTGATTCGCTACTAATGGCTTTCGATTTGTTGGTTGGTAGATGACTGCTTCCTCCACTGCTTTTATTTGGGACTTTTGTGCCACCACAACAGTGCTTCTGGTCTTATTCGCCGCCTTTTCTTATTCATTCATTTAACGAAACTCACCTTCATTCCAGTGAACCACTCTACCCTTATTTGTTGTTTCACATTGTGAGGCGTTTGACAATCCTCCTACCCATGTTTACAATATGCTTTCCTTGTGCACTCTTGTACTTTGTAGTTCAGCGCCATCATGCGTTAAAGAAATGCGCACTTTTAGAGGGTAGTTGAGGCAAACATTAAGGTCCTGATGCCTTGTTGCTGTGGGTGCTCGTAATTGCTTCGTCCGTCTCATACTTCTTCTTTCATTTCTTTCCTTTTTGTCTGCTGACTGAGTGGGACGATTTGTAAATGATGGAAAGGCTGGATAGATGGCTGTGTGGATGAGTTGAGAAGGAAGTGGTTGGATGAATGGTGCGGTCCGGTGGGTATTCGGTTGGATGAATGAATGAATGGATGAATGGGTGGTGGTGGAATGGGAGATAGTTTGGATGGCTGAAGAGAAGGCGGTTGGGTAGAGGAGAGGGCCACAAATGAATGAATGAATGATAGGTTGAGGGGTTGGCTTCATGAATAAGTAGATGAATGCATGGAGAAGTGAAGTGAGTACATGATGGAATGTGAGGAAGGATGGGTGAGGGAATATCTTAAAACGCGATTGATGTTTGAGTTTGAGTTTGGCAGGGTATTTTGGTGGTTGAGAATACGAGTAAAGTGAGAGATGTGTGGGTTGTTGTGCAAGGTATTTAATGGTCCTAATGCGGCGCTGTCCTCTGACTTCCCTCTTCATAGAGGACGAAGCTTGTCTCATGGCACTCAAATCGGTGGGTGACAAACTGCGCTCTGCCGATGCCATGCCACCCAGTCACCCACTCTACACGGAGGTCGGCAAGATCTGCGAGGACCGGATGGGCATCCTCCGTGGTGGCTTTCCCTCCTCCATCGGCGAGGTCGGCAGCGTCAACAACGGGTGGACCATCCTCGCTAAGCAGGGCGACATGACCATCTATAATCGTGAGGTGGAATCCGCTGATGGCACCTATCTGGATCCGCTTCAGGTACGCCTCTCATTTTGCCAATGCTTTCGACTTACGACGAAGAAGGCGAGCATTATTGAGTTGCACTGATGTGAATGAAAACGAAGTACTAATGGGTGTCTAATCCACCGCTAATCCACACGTCACCACCACTTGTGGTCAGTCGTAGTTAATTTAGTGGTATATGTCCGTTCCCCCTGTCTCGAGCATTCCGATTGGTTGACACGGCAGAGAACACGGCTGATGCACATGTGTGCTCGTGCTGCAGCTGTTTCCATGTTTAGACAACATGCCATTGTCCAAACAATGCCTGAGCAGATGGCTGAGTAGACATATAGATGGAAAGATGGGAGTGTTGACTGCATTGGCAGGTAGTCAGTTAGTTGGGAGGCTAAACACACAATGGACTAGATGGAAAGATAATGGTTGGGTGGATAGACGTGCCCGGAATGGAGGAAGGGATGGGTGAATGAATGTGCAGAACTTCGGAATCGGCGATGTTTCCTTTCTTGGTGTCTGCACATCAAGGCTGATTTTTCATCATTGCTTTGTAGGCTGTGCACAAAGTTGCCAAAGTGACTGCACGCGAGATGTGTGAGGCATTCTGGGACGTGCAATATCGTCTAGACTGGGAGATCACAGTGGATCAGGCGCCCACGGTGATAGAAGTCTGTGGTGATGACACCGTCCTCCAATACCAAGTCAGTGCACTTTTGTTTGCGTGATAACAATTATGTTTCCTTGCATGTATTTGTATTGTCCGTCATCAGCACTGAGCTTTGCTTTAACTCTACGTACTCTTGAAATATTTGCCTCCACTTTGCAATAGCCATGTTTACAAATTCGCTAGCTTGCCAAATGCCTCGTGTTGGATATTTCAGGGTGAAGTTCACGTCCTTGCTTATTGTTGCGCCATTCTGTCCCCTCAACAACGATAAATGTTCTGCCAAATGCCAAAACGGAATTGTAGATGGTAGACATGAGCTGTCATTGAATGATTTGCTTATGGTTTTAGACGATGAATCTGTGCTCTCGCTTTAACAGTCGTTGCAAAATATTTAGTTGATTGACTAACTTGTAGCTACACTCATCGAATTGTTAATGCCAAACCGCGATGGAGGACATTCTTCACGGCTTTTGTTTGACAGGATATCTAAAATTTGTGGTGGTTTGATAGGTTAATGACTTTTACCCTTCCTTTCATTGAAGGCCTACAAACGCGTGTGGCCAGCCACCCAACGAGACTCGCTCTTCTGGTCACACATGCGTCGCCTTGACTCCACTCAATTCCCTGTTGACGAGGCGGTGACATCTGCGGGACTGGTTGTCCTCGACACGTGGATGGTGGTCAACTACTCCACCAAATACGGTGAGGAGCGCCTCCCTGCATCCGCTAAGACACCCTCCTTCATCCGCCTCGAGGTGGACGTGGAGTTGTTCTGCCAGACGTTGTGGCACCCTCCCACTCCCGATTTCGACATATCCACCCTGCCGGACTCGGCGCAGCTGCAGTGTCTGTCGCCAGAAGAGCAGAGAGCACAGTGGGAGGCGGTGGGTGTGAAACGAGAGGCGCTGCAATGCCGTCTTCTGTACGCCTCGCAAATCAATCCGGGGGGTTGGGCTCCCGCTGCGGTGGTTCGGACGATGGCGCGGCGTGAATATCCCCACTTTCTTCGGCGTATTAGCGAATTTGTGGTAGGGCACACGACGGAAAAGACGCCGAAATTCTAGACCTTGATTATCGTCAATTTTGTCTTTACTTATGCCTTTTGCCACTCCTCTACCCCATACATATCAATCCATGTGTCTGTCCATCTAGCTACAAACTGTCCATCGCTTGGTTCTCTGTATATCGAAATTGTGAAATTGTGTGTGTATGAATGATGGCCTTCGTTGTTGCGACTGCCATGACATGGCCACAGGTGATTGCTTGTGAGGAAAATTCATTGAATCGAGGCTAAAACTGGCATTTAATTTGCTGATTTACAGGTGTTGTTCCTGAGGTTGTACGGAAAACCCATGGCTAGTTCAGTGTTTAGCATTCTTCTTCTACCTGCGTCACTCTCCTCCTTCACACGTCTTCCAGTCAACTATGCTTAATCCTGCCACATAAATGATGGGAGAGTATACAAACTCTGAACCTATTCATTGTTCCACTGTCCACCAAATTTTACCAAATCCGATGGAGTTGTGTAGCGCGAATGACGATATGTGAGATGGTATTGCAATGGTCCAAATATTTGTTCAATTCTTGTTTTCGGTTGTGGGGATGCTCAAGGCTCAGCTTTTGTACAATGGTAGTGGACATGGCCTCCAGCCATGCCAGTAGCCTCCTAAAACCTCCTGTCTATCGCAACTCAATGCTCAACCCGAGCATTATGTCCTCCCTTCTCACAAATGTCTTGATGAGCTACATTGGTGGTGGAGGAAAGCGAAGTGGATTCTGAAGGACAGCTACCACGATTTCTATTACTGGATGATAAATGTCAACTTGACGGAAGGGCAACATATGCTGTGGTTGGTAGTATCTGTGATGAGCCCCAACAGTAGCATCTGCAATGAAGTCTATCTTCAACATCCACACCAGTTCCGTGTTCTGCAGGAAATGTATCAACACCTGAAGCAACATCAACTGTGGACTATGAGAAAACTTTGGCTACGGATCTGTCTGCAATGCCCATATGCACATGCCAATTCAGTGAACACGCCATGCTTCCTCCATCTCTCGACCAGCTGGTCAGAAGCTATATAGATATAGCTGGCCAGTGCTGAAGCGAAAATGAAGTGACAGGTAGGAAGCGAAGAGAAACCTTATGCATACAAAACTAGTTAAACCTACTCCATTTTAGCACTACTCTGTGTTTGGTCGGTGATAGTCCTACTAACGATGGCTATGCATAATAAGATACACATTTTCACTTCCACAATACACTTCCCAAACAGGGGGTAATTCCTCATCCAGCAGAAGTGCCAAGAGGTGTTGGTGACGCTGCATTCGGATATCTTCTCACTGGTACACCGATTCGATGACACTGACGCGGTTGCTTCGTGAGTGTTTGCTTGCAGCACCGACTCCGTTGTGATGGTGCATACGGGAGGTTGACCATGAAGGTAGCCTTGGACGACAAAGCAGATTTACTTGTCAGCTTTGCGCAGCTCATTGGAAGCCATCAGCACTCACTGATGGATGTGCTAACGCCATTTGTGGTGTTTGTCAAATGTGAAAAAATCAACGTATCAGCCTCGAAATACTCGAGTTTTGCGTGGCTACTCCTCCCTTGAAGCAATAATTGTGGTGTATAATGGAAAGTGCGTTCTCGTTTGCTTCCTCCTAACATGGTGGAATCAGTGTCACCCTGCAGATTGTGCTAGGACAAGTCACATTTCTCTCTTCCCATTTGTGTTTCGTTGTCTTTTCGTCACACGTCACGTCTTCCAGCCAACTATGCTTATTCCTGTCACATAAATGAGGTTTTTATGTCGACACTACATACGTATAACAATTGCTTTTATTTGCTGCCGAACATTTGAAAGGAATCATGCAGGGGCATGGCATGAGGAGGAGATTTGCTTAAGAAGTATGGTAGTATTTTGCATCGGACATACTCCGTCGACCACTAGCTATAATTTTCCTACATTTTAATCTCAACTGACTGCGACACAAATTCAAAGTGAAGTATTGTCTGGAAGTCAACAGAGCATGATGAATCTTCTGTTTCTCACTTGTGCATATTAAGCCATCCACGGCAGATGCCTTCCTTGCATGTCATGTCATCAGGATCTCACCATCGTCCTATGCCATATCGCTCATAATGCCACCAGGGCAGTGCTTGAAGCTATGCCATCCTATTTCTAAAAAAAGCATTTCAAACAAACAGAAGACCTAAAGGAGCAGGAGCAGTGCACTGCTTCCTTAGCCTGGAGGTGCAAACACTTTTCATCGAAAAAATCCCTATGCACAAAAGCTTTCCTTTCTTGTGCATAACAAAAACATGAGCACTAAAAAGAGATCTGTGATCTATTTCCAAAGTGGTACAAATCAGCAAATGGAGCCCTCTCGACATATTGTACCCGCAGTGGAGCACATCCTACAACCAGTCATCTCCCAGTCGCCATTTGCCTCTTCCACCCTCCTTTAAATTCCTTTACTCCTGCTATGTTTTATTCCATTTCGAACCCTATCAGGCAATTGTCAACTGCCAAATAAGTGGCGAATAATCCCTTGAAGTAGGAAGAGAAAAAATGTATCGCCTATTCTACAACGAAAGAATGTTCTCGGTTGGGTTTTAAGGTATCAGTTGTGTGTGGGCACTTTCTCCCCACTGTTGCAAAGGTCCTCCCTGTTTCTCTCAATGACGATTCACCCTCTCATCTCCGAGTTGCATCGAGTCGGGTAGATTCCAGGTCTACTCGCTCGGCATTCGAGGAGGAATTCCAAGTGACCAAGTGCCTTTGTAGTCACCACACATACGAGCACACACACACACGCAGCCAGTAGAGGCATGTGCAGGTGAAGTGATGGAGGCCTTGGAAGTGAGGAATAAGTAGTGGGCGGAAAGTGCGAGAATAACCAAACAGGAAATGGTTTGATCCTGTAACGGAAGTTGCAGGGCCAAACACATCCTTCATCAGTGGTCACTCAGTCAGTCACCCAGTAGGACTGTTTGAAAACAGGCGAACAACGTCACTTCCATGTAGCGCGTACAATAAGGCGACAAAGCAGAAGTGTTTGGAGCCCTTCCACATCCATTTACACGTGTTGGTGGAAACAAGCCGATGCGTATCCAGTTAGTGGTGGCGCAAGTCAAATGGTCCGTCACTCATTTCAAGTTGAAATTGCTGCTCGTTATTCCTTCACTTCCCATCTCCTATTGTTATGACCAAGGAGAGTGTTTTTGCAAGGCAGTGTGAATTTAAACCACTTTTGTTGGCGCAATTAGTCAAAGCAACAGCAGCAACAACAACAGCTGTAACAACCACGGCATGCAACCTAGTTGTGTAATGAACTGAGTTCGCATCCAACTCGGTTCGGAATGCAGACAACCCCGAGCCACATCGCATGAGGGCACAGAAACATCACAAACAAATGTGTATCTCCGTTTCCTCGCACAAACAAACCATGATATTTTGCATGAAGCTAGTGCAGCGAGCAACACCGAGATTGAGTGGAACCGAATTGTTTACTTGATACACGCAGGACGCCCAACCAACATGAAACGTCAGCTTGTCGGCTTTTGGATGCGTCTGCTTACCTCATTTTGCCACTGTCACTTATCAACAGGAGAATGAGCTCACCTCAATCGACAGCAAGTCAAAGTACATGGACCAACGTCCAGACGCTTTCCTACAACTTCTCCTTCTGTCATGCTTCTCATCTCAATGGTTATTTATAGAGTTTGTTTGTCCTCAGCCAGGGTCATGTCTGGAATTCCTTCGCTATCATCAATGCAGCTCATGCCGAAGTTGTAAAGCCTACTTTCCGGCCGCTATGCCGGTGTCAATGGCTGCAAAGCAGACAACCAACCCGACAAATTGTGCAAATGCAGGAATAAAGCATGTAATTGAGCAAACGGCGTTGGGTGCTGGCATTTCACTTCGCCGGTTCTGAGTTCCAGTGCCTCTGATGTGGTTCCTTTCGATTTGTGAATGCCTAAGTTGCATTCGAATGTTTCCTCACCATGCCAGCGCAGTTGGTCATTACATGCAGGTTATGGGCCGACATATCTGATGCTGGAGTCATGCGAAACAATGACTCCTCCAATGGTCTAAAGGACTGTCTTTACTGAACACATTACATGTCGTGGAGGTGGCGGACTGCAAAGTAGCCAGCATTTCCGATTCTATCAAACACGTGCTTCATCCACTCATCCGTGTCGGTGCTCGCGTATGTGTTTGCATTCTACCAGTGACCTTCACCTCACTTCTTGCTCCAGCCATCACAGGCCACCATACTTCATATTCTTCACTCACTCACACCTCATGGGTGTTTGGACTCTCACAGGCACTGGAATTTCAAGTCCTCCAGCCAGTCTCCATCGATACGATGCATTTGTCGTTGCCCTTCTCCAGCGTCATGGGATGCACAGCACCAATTCGATAGGGATAAACTTCTCAGTAATTTGGGTGGTCATTGTCATAAGGCCTCGAATCATCTCTGCTTCCTATCTCCTACTCCGCCTTCAAGCGTAACTCGCATGTCATGGATCACTCGCCATGGTGATGCCTTGGAGATAACAGAAGTGCATAACTGAGATGGGAGTTGTGAATGCGCCAATGCCGAGGAATAGATGGCACACCACTGAAAGCAAGGTGGAGACTGTGTAGTGTAGTGCTCACAGATTTCTCTGAAGCCGAAAGTGGACACTATATTTGGTCAGAATAGGTTTAGTCGACGCACAGTATGGCTCGGTGGCCGTTGTCATGTTCGCGAGGCCAGTCCACCCACTGGAGGTTCAATGACGGAGTCTCTCATTGGACTGTCACCCGAACCGAGAGTTACACGAGGAATCAAAGCGTCACAACAATCTAGCGATGCTTGTTGCAATTGTGTGTGGCTCTTCACTTCTACTGCACAACGATTTCGGAGGATTACATCCTGTCAAACCAACTGGACATTCGAAAGTGGGTACATTGTGAATGCCAGCAATAAACTTGTGGCAAACTTCGTAATACCCTCGGCCCACGCAGGCAGAAAGTGTTTGACAAGACAATCACTTGGATTGATCTAAATTTACCACCACCACCACCACTAGTAATCACGGCATGCCTGCGTGTTAGTCAAGCGGTAGTAACTCAAGTAGACGGGGGCGTGCATAACTGGGTAGTTGGTTGACACAATCCCGGTACACCTATTCCACTCACGCCGATCTATGCCGGTTGTTGGTGAACACACTCACTGCAGTGTCACATGCACGCGCACATCGAAGTTGGCCAAACGCCAATGCTAATTAGTGATTCAGAGGGTAACTGAACACTACCCAACTCCTTTTCATCAATTTGAGTTCCTACACAAACAACAGGCTGCACTTCGTGTAGTCGTAGGTATGAGAATGCGCATTGTTTCGGTTAGAGGACGAAATTTATTTCCAAGTGTTTGGCCTTCATGATTTGGAAGTTACAAGTCGTGCATCTCCATCAGTGGCCTTCAGAGAAATTTCCTTCCATCAGTTCCAATGCAAAACCTGCTCTGTTCATAAACGAATTTGGCAATTCTGTTCTTCCAGGACAAAAATTTAGTCACTGCCATTAGTTGGATAGACATTTGGCCTGTCATGCGCTGAAATAAACCATTCTCCTATGCTGGTGTATCTTGCTGCAGCATTGAAGGCGATTCGAGGCGCTTTAGTGGTGGCGTCGGTAAACGAACCCAATCCAAGTGCGATCTCATCCAATTTCATCATGGGAATAAGATATCCACTGCATTTGACCGGATCTGCAGGGACTACTAAAATATAGAGGGTAAGATGGCGTGTAACTCCGATACGCAGTAGATGGTGATTGAGCAAGATCCCTCTCAGACGCATCGCACTTCGTCTCAAACAACTGTCAGCTGCATCTGCTTAATACGAATGGATGTAAATGAAGGAGTGAGGGCGCGATGCTCCCTCTCAAATGCCGGTTTTGTGCACCTGTCATCTGTAACGATGGTTAACACAACAATGCCCGTCGTATTGCTTCGTCTTCCAAGTGATTTCTTTCCCATGCCCTTTCTCCTACTGAGGGTGGAGCATTCTGCAATCTCAGCCACACCTTATCTAGGCACTTCCTTTAGTGATCAGCATTGTTCCGAAGGTGCGTGTTCATCGTATCACCGTGAAAACTGTCCCGTCATTCATTCCAAGTAGCGCCAAGCTTCTTGGAATAAATGAATTAGAAGAGAAAGCATATAGTGTTTTGGTACAAGCTTTGATGTCCATCTAAACAGGCAGGCTTATACTTCAGTCTTAGACAAATGGTATTCCGATTGCGTCTTTGCTCTTTTAATCATTCAACACGATAATAACCAACTTCGTCCGCACTGATATGCCTCATTTTGTGCCCATTAAAGACTCAGAGCGCTGCATTAACACGTGCATCGTGTCTGGCTCCACATCGGTAATTACGGTGTGCGCGAATGGAGAGAGGTAATGTGAAGCCATTACAACAGTAGAGACGCCCACCTCATACGTATTTTCACCCTCCATAGTCATCATAGTGGATTAAAATAGGGTGACGTCAGTACCTCCTAAAATATCTGTTGCGTGACCTCTCGAAATTATGCAAAATCTTACTTTTATTGCACTTAGGAGCTTCTCCAATTAGTGCATTATTTTACGTTATGCAGAATTATGCGTTCAGGACTCACTTGATAGTACTTGGAGAAAGACACATACAATTGAGGAATCCTCAATTAGTCACTGGGGCTCTTGCTGCAGCGTGTTTCGCAACATACTGTTAAGCTAGTCCACGCTGTAACTTGAATGAGTGTGATTAAATCTGTTAAGGTGGAATGATATTAGATATAATGGATCGCACAGATCTACTCATTCAAAAGTAGCTAAATCAATTTTTTATTAAGATTTAACCGTTTTATGCAATTTTAAGACTAAAGCACTATTTGTGGTGCAAAAGTTGACAACGGGAACATAAATAGGAAAAAAATCATTCGAATCACATCACGTGGTCTAATGAGCGGTTTTAAAAGGTAAAATATCTGTACTTGCCTCATTAATTTTAACTTTAATAAAATTGAAACAATACGCATTGTTTGAATTCCCGTGCAAAATTATTAACTCATGATTTGCCTTATTAGCCCCTATTTTTAGGACCATAATTTTTAATAACAAAAGCAATAGAAACGTCCATAGATATTTTTTGGGATTTTACACCTAATTACAGTAAGGCACAGCAAAATGACAAGAGATTAGAAATCACGTTATTTGTTTTAATCTCCTAAGTTTTGAACGTTATACGAACGTTTTTTAATTTACGGCTATTGGTTTTGGTGGTAGTTTGGACGATGGCCGGCGAGTTGGATTTGAATGTTGATGAGATAATTTCAGCACTGTTGGAAGGTACTGATAGTGTATAGGCATTTTGCACCGATTTTAGTGAGAGGGCCTCGAATTAGCACTGCTGTAAACCTGAAGGAAGAGGATATTAAAGCACTATGTGCCAAGTCGAGGGAGATTTTCCTTTCGCAACCTATTCTACTGGAATTGGAAGCGCCGCTAAAAATATGTGGTAAAACATCATTTCCTTTAATAATAGTGACCTTAATGCCATGCATGATAGTTGTGTGCCAATAATTCCTGAAAGCACGCCAAATGTGGCACGGAAGTGTATTTTCACTACTTGTTGTTGTATAAGAGAACTTTTTTTGGGCATTTTAGTAGTTTTTTTGAAGTAACAAGCTTAAATGTTCATGTACGTATTGGCCCCGTATTTTTTTGAGATACAAGTGAAGACCTGTTCGTTTGTTCTCTCCTGAAATATGCCTGAACCTTATTTTCCATTCTTAAAATTCGTAGGAGATATTCACGGTCAGTACACAGATTTGATGCGATTGTTCGAATACGGTGGGTTTCCTCCCGACGCTAATTACCTCTTCCTTGGCGATTACGTGGATAGAGGGAAACAGAGCTTGGAAACTATTTGCCTTCTTTTGGCCTACAAAATAAAGTATCCTGAGAACTTCTTTCTTCTCCGTGGCAATCATGAATGCGCTTCAATTAACAGAATATACGGATTCTATGATGAATGTGAGTACCTTGCATAGTCACTTACACACGTACCAATTTAGTAGCTGTTTGGGCTTGTGACCTGTGTGTCTTGAAATAGTTGGGATTGGCTCAGGCACCGAAGTGTTCGAGACGAAGGATTACTAATTTCCATTTTTTTTCTGTTTTAGGTAAACGAAGATACAATGTAAAACTATGGAAGACATTCACAGACTGTTTCAATTGTCTTCCTGTTGCAGCCATTGTTGATGAAAAAATATTTTGTTGTCATGGAGGTGAGCAAGTTAGTTCAAAAGTATTTAAGATTCTCATTGTCATTAGTGAAGGGTCAGAAGTGCAAGTGTGTTAATGCTCGTGCACAATTACTGAAATCTGAATAGGTTTCGGGTTTAAAAATCGTACATATCGGGATTTGCATTTCATTAACAATTTATAATTGACGATTTATAACAAGTTGTTTTGTTAACAGGATTATCTCCAGACCTTCAAACTATGGAACAGATCCGTCGGGTTTTACGTCCCACTGATGTTCCAGATACCGGTATGTCAGCAAAACAGTTTGAGGAGTTTTAAAAGTGCTTTTCGAGTATATCCATCACTGATTCTCAATTTTGGAGCATTCTGCTCTGTCGTTTTCGTTTTTAAGAGGATATGTACATCTAGTAATAAAAAAGGTAGTGTTTTTTGGCACAAAATGCGATGGCCTCGTGTGTCGCTGCTATTCCATTGAGTCGCCGGATCAGGAAATTGTTTCTCCATGAGTTGGCGATTAGGAGTTTTACTTTATTGTAAGGGGATCATCTTTTGGAAAGCTCCTCTCTGGTATCCATGGGTGTGTGTTAACCGATTTCGTCACGCCTTTGTGGCGCAATTCTAGAGAGGGAAAAAAATCGAACTTCCTGCATGCAATCTTTTCTATTTTACGCCAATTAAATATAAAAAAGGGAGCCTCCGTTTTTATCCTTTTTTTCATTCAACCCTCAATTCTCACACTGACCTTTACACGCGTTCATGTGTCGTCTGTGTGTATTACGCTCTTTCTGGGTGTGCATTTACGCACTCGAGTTACTACAGCTTTCCTTCCCTCTCGCTGCCTCATACAGGCTTAATCAACGCTTGTCTTACGCGTCATAATCCCAATGTTGAAGCTTTTTTTAAAAGAAAACTGTAAAATCCTACATCAACTCTTGCGCCATCCTGATTGGAGAATGGTTGATCCTTTCCAAAGGCTTTTACGCTCATGTTTAATTGAAAGTTCGGTGCTTCTTGTAGTGACAATGTTAACAATCTTTTTTTCTGATATAGATAAATCCATACTCGATAGTACCTCGAGATCACTAGACGCGTTTTTTATTTGTCAATGTCCTGCTTCTTGTTAAACACTGGTTTCGTGCATCAACCTACTCCTTGCTAGGTAATTATGCTTATCAAACTAGTGTTTGCGAGTTTAAATTGTTTTTTTCATACACATAATTGTGCTATGACAAATCCCGCAGACAATACCGTTTGCGTCCGTAAATATGCATATAAAGGTATCACTGGATTTGTTTGCCCTGCGTTGGCATTCCAAAAGAAGGGCACATTTTCTTTTTTCTTCTCAAAAAACCCCTTGGAGAGAGGGTGGAAGCAAAATAGGAAGTGGGAGAGAGGAAGAATGAAGGCGGGATTTGTCACGAAGGCCCGCGTGATTCGGGAATGACGCGGGGCTACGCAAATTTGACCAACTGCGCACCTTCATTCTCTGCCTCTAGAGGAAGATGCTGACAGTTTTGATGTCTATTTGCCCCGCAAAATTACACGACAGCCCTGTTGTCATTTCAATTTAGGTGCACCGAAATTTGTGTTTTTCCGGCTTTTGAAACAAGTTTAAATGACAGGTGTATCATTTACGAAAAGCATGTCGATGTTATTAATTAGGTCCAAGTTTTCCATCTAAGTAATTTGAGTGTTATCTGGAGAGCTCCAGCTCGTCGTTGTTCCACTATCCATTCATCTCGTTTTCGTCCACCTAGCTCTTCATTTACTTAACCATCCCTTCATCAAGCTAACATATCATTGGAAAATCCATTTGACCATTTCGGATCCACCCACCTCTTTTTGTCCACTTTCGGGAACCTTTCAGAATCATTTTTTGAATGATTGCGTCAGAAACACCAATGAAAAAAACTGTTTCAAATTGGTTGAAGTTGTCTAAGTATAAGTGAATGTTTTTCTTGATCAAAGAATGTCCTTTTTATATCCACGGTGTTAATACACCAAATTCGAAACCCTCCAATGGTATGCAGTTATTGTTGTAGAAGACATAATCACAATCAAATTTTCCCAGAAGCTCTCGACAGGCTTGGATAAAGTTGAAGGTAATATGAAGGTCGGTAGTCGGAAAATGGTAGGCTAACTGTTGAGTGTCTCAAGCATCCCCCACAACGCAATGATGGAAAACCCTCAACCATGAGCCAGTATTTAGGTCTCATTAGTCCATCTTTTCCGTAGGAGCTTGCACCGGAGCCTAATTGAGTTCTTTTGAAGAGCTGGATAATTAATTGGGCATAAAATTGAGGTAATTACTTGTTTGCAGCTTGGCTTGCTGTTCCTGGTGGAAGTCTCCATTTTGCCGTAAGACCCATTTTGAAATCGGTGCAGGTCTTTGATTCAACTATTTTCATTTACTTGGACGTAAAAAGTGACTGTTCATGATATCAGTCTCTTGAATGCAGCCAGTTAAGTATCAAATAGTAAATAGTACTTATTTGCTTTCGGAAAGGCCTAGTTTTTCGTTAGTCCAACAGATTATTATTTTTCGAACTACCGACCAATTTGTTTTTTCACATTATAGATGAAGTAGTTGTTTGTATCATCAATTTTTTTTACTAACAAATATTTGCAAAAGGTTTTTAATAAACACCGGTTCCTACCTCTTTCATGGTACCACAATAATTTAGAGAGTGATAGTCGGTAAGGATGGGCTAACAGACTGCCTTCTACTGCGGGGTTTTTTCCCCACGTGATCCTCTCTCGTGAACGTACCGTTAATATCATTAAGCGTCCACATGAGATGCCTCCATCGGTTGCCCAAAGTGTGAAATTATTTGGGGTAAACTAAATGGTGTGTAAACTGGAACTATCAAGCTTTTAAAATCCAAGGATCCCCAATGCTCATTGAAATCACCTCGACAGCTGTGAATGAATGGGGATAACTTAATCTTAATAAATCGTAAATAGTTGATTGCGAAGTAGTGTAAGATCGCTTTTCCTTTTAATACCTTGATGACGTTTTAATTTGTGTGCATTGCCTTCTGCGAGATATCACCCATCCGAATCTTTCTCGGTTAACTTCTCATCGAAAGTCTGGGTCTGATGTGAATTTACTTCAATAGTGGCGGCTGAGAAAGGACAAACTGGTCGTTTAGTAGTAAAAAGTAGTGTTTCCAAAAATGTCGGGGGTCACTTTTGAAGTCTGATTCTAGGTCTGCTCTGCGACATTCTATGGGCTGATCCGGACAAGGACACAAGAGGCTGGGGCGAGAATGACAGAGGCGTTAGCTTCGTATTCGGCGTGGATGTGGTGGAGAAGTTCCTGCATCGCCACGACCTTGACCTTATCTGCCGTGCTCATCAAGTGGTGGAAGATGGGTACGAGTTCTTTGCTCAGCGCCGTCTCGTCACCCTCTTTTCGGCGCCCAACTACTGCGGCGAGTTTGATAACGCCGGTGGAATGATGTCAGTCGATGAAACACTCATGTGCTCCTTCCAGGTAAATGGAGTGTAATAGTCTTGAACTTTGATGTATTTGGTGTAGTTCACTCTTTTCTGAATACCAATGTCCTTCAGAGTCTCTGCAGGTTAAAACGATTTTTTTATGAAAAGCTTAACATAATAAAAGAGGATGAGACAGCTTTGAGGGACGTTCAAGACAAATTGGGATTTTGCAGATATGAAATAAGAGTGAAAACCGTCTTTCCTGCCATTTCACGGCAGGCTGTGCTTGGATTAGTTGTCTGGGTTCAGGCAGGTTGTCTTTTCACAGGTGTCATTATTTAGTTTGTTGACTGCGAACTTAGTCAGCACGATCGAAATTGCCGTTGGCAGATGTGCAAGCATCTTTGAAGTTTTCACATCAAAACATTTACCTGCTGAGTGGCTCGGTGTCTCATCACTGTGATACACTTGAAGCCCCCTGTAGGTACAAGTTTATGCAGGTTTATCTCCTTCCTTGATAAGACTCGATCACCAGGCGCTTTTACATGCTTGCACCACCATTTTTGTCTGAATTGGTCTGTGACCTATGTTGGCCATTAGTAAGCGTTTTGGAACACATTCCTCTGTAACCTTACCACAATGGCTCCCCTCGTTTCGGATCGAAAATCATAGTTTAATTTGAACGTTCATCGCATTCGCTTACATCGCCATTCATTTTTTTTCTCTAATTCAAAGTACATATCTCTAGCTAATCCTTTATATAGTTGCATAACAACATGTTTGTTTGACTTTCAAAAAAGGGTTTCATTGGGTCATTGCTCCTAAAAATAGCCTTAATATTCCTACATTAGTGGTAAACTGGCTATTCGTTGCGCCGGGGAGTGCGAAAGGCCCTCCTTTGCGGCACCATGGCTGTTCACAGTAGTAGTAAGCTATTGACTTTCGGATGTTCTCGATTCGATCAGGTTGTGCTCTAGGAGTGCCTCCTTTTAAATGTTCGTAACCATCAAAGCTGAAGGCATAATTTTTTATACAAGTTTTTTACTATGTTGAAGTCTGCTTATTCCTGTCACTATTTGGTAATTTTTTGAACATCATTTGTCTATCTGATGAGTCGTTTTGATACATTTATGCACTAAATTACTATATTACTAATCGTTTCATTGCCTCGCCAGCTTCACACTATTAAACTTTTATTGCCATGCCGAAAGGGTAGCTATTTATTTCATCTGGATCGCGGCTCAATTTTTAGCCGGATTTTTTGAGGATAAACAATCTTTCTTACTTCGTTGCATAGTTGCCTGTGCTCGAGGTCTTTGGAGTTCCTCTTGAACAAAGGTACATCGCCGACTCCGATTATTTGTCTTCTGCACAAAATTGTTGGAGTTTGATTCCGGCCTAGATTCACATCCACAAACAAATCTCCCGTTTATTGAAGACCTTAAAAGATTAGGCTTTCTGAATTTGAGGCAGCTGTTTTGTAAGCGGTCTACTATTTGACTCATCACTACCACTGGCGCCTATCTACGTAAGGGTGGCCTAGGGGTCTTTCGCTTTTTGTAAACAATGACAGCTCATATAAACAGGGGCTTTTATTCTTCCCTTCAACCGCCACAATTATATTTTCTTGACGTTAAAGAGTAGGTATTACGTCTGAAAAGCTGGAATTTTTGTTGTTATTCGCTTCTTACTTGGTTTTAGTGGTCGTTGTCTACCTAAGCAGAAAAGACTGGTCTACAGCTAGAATTTCCGTAGTAGTAGCGATGCTTTCCCGCATTTCTCTTCACTAAGTACTAAAGTACAGTTGGCGAGGGTTTGAAATTTCCTTGCTAGTGCCTGTGGAGGTACTTTTGCTTACTTTTTTTCTCCGCAGCAATAGATTTTGTCGTGGCGAGGGTGGCAGTGGTAGCTGAATTAATCGCGAAGCTATTTGTCTTCAATAAGTTTTCCTATTTTTCAAATTAGTGGAAGTGGAGTTACTTGAAACCAAACCATTCTTATGCCTGCCTTTGAAATCCTGGATAATAGCGTAAGTGGGAATAAAATTGCAGTTAAACCCTAAGTTTCCATAAAAAAGTGTGTGTGATGTCCTAAATTGCTTTAAAGATTGCTCCCATTTTTAATTCTTTGAGGTTGAGGGGGTTGACATTGTCGTACTTTGGTGTTTTGGTCGGAATTTTGTGCTTTGAGTCACTTATGAGGGATTGTTCTAATATATCCCATCTACATCATCATAACCTATTGAAGTGAAATGAATTTTCTTTCATTAAGTCACTGTTAACAGTTGTCTGCTTTCCAGTAAAAAGACCTTAAGGGAGAGGTAACTTTTGTTTCCATCAGAAGCTCTTGTCTCTTCTCACTTCCCATTTTGATGAGATTTTGTTCATATGAGAAACCATACTGACATTAGTCTGTCAGTATTATTAACCCCGAAAGGGCAAAAGTTGCCATTATTTATATGAGGAGTTTTGATGAACGTCTTGTATTCGTTTTGAATAAAGGCCCAAGTGGATTCCATATTAACTGCCTATCAGCCTCGTCTATTACTCCAAAATTGTCATTTTTTTCATAGTTATTTGCGCACTGATCGTCTACTGTATTTTTTGTTGGAATTATATCTCCAGCTGGAAATTCACTTAAGATCTATATCCTAACGGATATTCGACTCCCACAGCAAAGAAATTTGCTGCTGATTTCTATAGGACTCGTCATCCACTGGATGCTTCCCACCACAAATTTATCGAAATCCCTTAAAGGTGTGGATGGTGATGCGACCATCTGCACTAGAGGTCTTTCGTTTTTCTTTAACAATAGCATAAGGGGATGCTGACTTAAAGCAACAAATTCTCTATCTTACAATAGAAAGAAGCATTTTTCCGCTACCTTTAAACACCGCTAGTCCCTTTATTACACATCATGGAATAGTTTTTGCCTCTGAACTATCAAGGGCCTTTTGTCTGCCTACTCAATTGCATTAAATGCTGCATCTCCTACTGAGAAATACTTTTATTCAGACTTATTTAGTCTTCCTCGTTTGATACCCCGCACAGTATACATGCTCTCCGTATGAACAAATGTATTTAGGCAACCCTGAAGTTCTGTCTTTCACAATGCTGAGTACGTAGGCGCTTTCTCCTGATTGCAGTCTTCCAAAATGACTAAACTAACTAGCTGACTAAACCTTTTTGTTTCTTACGGCTTGCCAGTTCCGCAGTGTTGTCCTAATTTTAATTGCTCTAACGCCTTCACAGCCGAAGTGCAATTAAAGAAGCATTGGTTTATTGAACGTGCTGTTTTATTAGTCGACCTAACTTAATTCACCCTTACTAGATAGGGATTTAGCTGTCAGCGGTACCGAAATATCAGCATATACCGTTTCAGTGCATTCCAACGTTTGCCTCGTGCCCAATATCTCAAAATATGCGTTACCTCTGATGTCTTGCTAGGGTTGGCAGTCTTCTTTCAAGACTGCTATGTTTCCATTGGCTTTTCATATTCTAAGGCTCTTAGGGAACAGATCAATTTTAATGTGACCTTTTACGCATTATTTCGACAGAGTTGAACCTCAAAATCTCATAGCATTGTACTAACCACTGTAGAGCTAATTGATATCCGTAATTTTTTTTCAAGTGTGTATAAACGCTAACTCGTCTGAAGGGTCCAAAACGATAGGCATGAACGGAATGCTGTCATAATCCACGTCTTTGCTTAGGGTCAGGCTTCCCTAAAATTTCAACCTTTTTTCAGATTCTTAAGCCCTCCGAAAAGAAGTCGAAATATCAGTACCTTGGCGTTAATTCTGCTCGTCAAGGCGGTTTCGCTCGTCCCACGATGTAGTATGCTCGGTCTAAGGTGGGTTACTTCTCTGACTCATACGTGCTGTTATGCAATTATTTTTATGTTTGACTGACGTGGGGCTGCAACCATTTGTCAGTCATTACATCACGTTATTTATGGTAATGAAATAATGTTCACCCTACGCGTGTTTGTGTATGAATGCCAAATCACCCTTGCCGAAGTGGTTAGTCTGTTGTAGCAGCGGCAACAGCCACACGACTGCTTTACCACGTTATTCACCAGTTTACTTCCATAGGTTATGCCATTCAACTATATGAGGCCGTCGTCCGTTCACAAAAAAAGCTACCAATCAAACTGTTTTCCAGCCGCGATCCCGGAAGGTAATGTCCACACGCACGCACGTGAAAATGGTGTACCCCACGCTGATCTCTTCTTTCTTGCCTCTCCGTCCCTATTCTGCTTCACTACATTCACTACCTGTACCATAAAAACCACTTCCCTCCACAGCTTCTTTTTACCCTATCGTGTTCTCTTTCCCATCCTTGCCGGGCTCACAACAGAGAGGAGTGCAGTTTACCACTAGCGTTGCTTTTGGCGCTGCTGCTGTCACCAGCGTCACCACTTCCGCCCCCTATTCCTTGTCCTCCCGCCCTCCTCTTTTGCAGAATTGCCAAATCCTGGTTTTACTTGCGTCTTTAAGACGCCACGTTATAACCGTCACTACTTGGCTCACTCTTGTTCTTTGTTTCTTCCTGGGTTCCTTGTTTTTGGAGGTCAGCAAGTATTTGAAACAACCGATGGGATTTGGGACTGCGCTATCAATGTTGTTGTGAAGGTGGAGTGCTGTAAATTTAGGCTGAACTTTTGAAAAACGTGGTTGAAATGGATTTAACAGAACGGTAACTGGCGCTTTTTGCTCATTTCAGTAGAACCGCCCTTAAAGCTTGACTTCAACAAATCTTCAGCATTGCGGCCATGTTTGATGCTTTCGCCAGATACGACAGACACCAATAGCGGATGCGAACAAGCCCTCTGAGTCGTGGTCGTGCTTGTCAAATGCCTTACCATAATATGGCGCTCTGTGAGGAACGTGCCGTTATTGGGTGCTGACTGCTACTGTAAAGGAATTCGCCCTCAAGCTTGGCGATATTTGTTGGCAATTATCCCATGATCAAAGCAAGTTCTCGTGAGAAGTTTCTGGTTGTTTCTCGAGCTCCAATTGAAATCTGGCTATATTGCATAGTAGTGTGTTACTGTCTGTGTCGAGATACGTGCTCCAGGAACAAAATATGTCCATAATTGCGGCGCAGCATATTCTCGTTTGTTTTTCATCGAAAAGTACTTCAAACCCCTCGATGAGGTAGGAGCTAGTGGTATTCTCTGCAACTAGAGTGTCGTAATCAGTCTTCCTTTGATCGGTAGCTGTCTTTAACGAATAAAAATCTCGTCTTTTATCTGGGATTGTCCGTGTATTGTTAGACTTTTTGTTATCTCATCTATCAGTACTGTCTCGATTACGGTTTCGAGACCGATTACGCGCCCTCTAGCATAACTACAACGCCTTGAATCTCCTTTCTTTGGTAAGGCGCCACGTTTTGGGTGTCATCCCCTGACTTCACTTCCCTTTGCCTCCATCTGTCAACACAAGATAGGAAGAGAATTTCGATAGTTTGCTGGTGTAGGTATCCCTGGCAAACAATCGGCATAGGTGAAAGCTTTTTTGCACTTGCAGTGTTTCACTCATCGGCTTTGTTTTGGTTGTTGATCACCATCAACGTGACAGGTGTCTGATCTTAGGGCAGTCTTATGAAACATGGGTTGGCGAAAACCATACATGCCTCCCACGAAGTGCTTATCTCTGCCAGCTACGGCAACCTTAATAGTAGACGTCAACACGACTTTCCTATTGTGATCGTCCATACTAGTGGCTTTCTCAAGAATAAAAAATGCAATGAGAGGATTCGAACTGCTAGACCTGCAGGCTTAATCAGTTCTACATTGCCCCTCCCTCATCCCCCTTCCCTTAAAGTAGAATCGAAGCTCTCGTAAGTAATTAGTCGAGTGTTGAGTAGAGGTGATGAGTGGGTGAGAGCTATTGAATTTGTGGCGAAATTCGATTGTCGTATTTAGCCTCCCCGTGATTGACTGGTGGCTTCAAATTGTAGCTGTAAGGCGCGTGCAGTGCAGTGGGGAATAACAAGGCAAAGTGGCATCCATCAGTCTGCGTTATGGCTCCGAAAACAACTACCTTTACACTTCCTTTGTAACCATTTGTAGGGATTCCACGAGTTCAGAATCATGAAGTATGGATGCTGTGGTCATGAGCACTACCACGATTGTTTGCAGAATTTCTTCGGCAAGGAGTACGATTTCCAAATCGCAAAGCTGTCCTTATTTTACGCGGTCCCACCCACGACTTGGGAAATATTTGCACACGTTCACCTGGCCTTTGTTCGTCTTAGCCCTAGTGTTCTTGATAGCTGCCAGTAACAAGCCCTCGAGTTTGTGGCAATGCTCGTTTGTGACTCGAGGGGAGCCCGAGACCAAAAAATTTAGGAACTTTCAATCGCCTACTTAAACACGAAAGGTATTCTCTAAAAACTCCCTTACCTTTGAATTTAAAAACTGCCTCCCATGTCTGAAGCCCAGCTTGCGACGGTGATCCTCCATCCTTGATGTGAAAAGTGAGACAATATGAGATATTTTTATTTATTCTTATCGCTTCATTTACGTGGTGATGCTTTGGCAGGATGGAAAAAGGGTCTGGATTGGAGATAAGGTGGCGGCAACAAATTCTGATTCTGAGGAGGACTTAACAAAAAGGGGGAATTCAGCATCGTAGACGCGCTTATTGATAGCCTTCCCATTCAATACCTAACCATGAGGCCTTGGACGGTTCAAATTGGCCGAGTTAGAGGACAAACAGGTAAAGAAAAAAAAATGTCGAAACCGTTTAAACTTCCTTCCCTAGGTAATTTAGGCTGTATGAAAAGGTTTAAAGTCTTGGTTAGGCTCATAAACACTCTCCCCCCCCTCACCTCGTCCTTTTGACTGGAAGCTTGACCTATGTCTTCAGTGTCTTATCGTGAATTGTGGTTTGGTTACAAATATCTCAGAGAAAAAAGTGGGGAACTATGCTTTTTTTGTCATTTTCCACTTTCTCATTGAACCATCTCGTGTAGAAGTGACCGGTAGGCATACACAGTGTTTATGGTAGTAATTGGTTGTCAAAAATCCGACCGCACCCTAAATCGAGATTAGATGAGATAAGTTTAGCGAAAACTAAAGTAGATGACGCTCACTAAAGGGCTGCGGTTATCAGCTGACAAGATAATATTATCCTTACCTGTCAGCTTTGAAGCTCATTTAGCTTCTCGAGATTCCCCTGAAGGATCAAGAGGGTAATGCTCGGGCGAAATCCATTCGACATGCAGAAGGGCCTAGGTCTTCTGGTATGGTCCAGAGGCTAGTTCACCCGGCGAGGGTGCAATGGTGGAGCACTTTGGTGACCCCCTTACCATAACCAAATGTTAAACAAACAACCAACGTATTACGTAGCTACTCCTCTCTTTTATGCCTCGTTCTTGACGCCCTCCTTCGTCAGTCTCCCGCGTCAGCCATCACAGCGTAGTTGGTGCCCTGAGAAAGAGACTCACGAACCGCCCGTGCCAGTTATCAAATTTCCATGCATCTGGGAAGATACTTAACCGCAATGTCTCTAATTCCTCTTGGCAGTTCTAATGGATCTGCAGTTTCGTCTTGCAAGGAAATTGGATCCGGGGGCATGGGATATGCCGATCATCACGCTGTCCATCGCTAGTCATAAAATTACTGGCTTAAAAGCAGAGTCTATTAAAAAGGGACGAGAACTAGCATAGTTCTGTGGGGGTAAGGTTTTGCGTCTACTTTCTCCTCGCCACTTCAGTGCTGCTCGGCCATATCTGTCTGGATTCCACCCTGCTAGTAGGGCAGTAGTGAAGGCATCGTGATTTCACTTAATTGACATCTTCACAATGGAATGTAGGCGGCTTTGTAGCAAACTTTTTCACGTGGTTCACGGTTAATGTCGCTTCAGTTATTAATAGCTTTCCTGTAGAGTATAGGATTGCGGTAGTTGCTGGAGGTAGACGGCATTTTCAGCCCTTCTGTTAGGGGTAGTCACAAATTCTCCAATTTGCAGTACTTGTACTCCTTCCGTCCCGGTAAGATTTATCATCCAGCCACAGAAATCATGGATTGATATCTACGAATGCAGCGACCCGAGCCTCTCCAAAAGAGGTAAGAAGGCATAATACTCTGGCAGAAGATATATTTCCTCGAGGCCTGTTCACCCGACGAAGGCAAAATGGCAGAGCACCTTAGCGGTCCCTGTACCAAAGATGAGAGCTAAACAAACAACCGGTGGATTACACTTGCATAATACATAGGAGATATTCCATCACAACTCGAATCGTCCACTTTATGAGAGTCTTATCTTATTCACTCGCTATATCCCAGTTTCACTCACTATAAGGGCAATGCTCAATTTAGGGTGGTTAGTTAGGTTATTCAACTCAGGATTTCAAATCGACATTTAAAAATATACTCAAATAAAAATCTACTGGAAATAGTAACTTTAGTGGCAAAAGCAAGGTTGTAAAGGCGCTAGTCTTTACACCTTCCCTTAACATTGTCTCTCGAGGACTGTTTCAGTGACTGCAGGAAAATGCACGATTCCTTTACCCTTTTGAAGCTAGGTTTCACCTACTTGTCGGGAATTACTTAAAGCAGAATTGTGATTAGGCTGCCAAGGAGAGAAGGAGGTGAGATTTAACCTTGCCAGTGAATAGTCCCAAGAAATGTTATTAAATACCCTTTCATCCCCTTTTCTCGGTGTTAGAAATGAAGACGAGAGAAGATGCAATTATCTGCGTTGGTGGGTGTCATTTAATTGCCGACCTTTGGCAAATCGGCTAGGGCAATGCAGCGTTGCGCAAACCACTTAGCATTGTAGGTGAACCTCATATGGCGTGTTACAAGCTCCCCTATCAATGGGGGCTGTAATTAATACAGCAGTCGCAATTGAAACCAAAACATTTTAGACGTCATTCTAGAACTATGATTTTTAAAAAAACAGTCGGAAATATTGATCTCACTGTGGGTGCTGATCCGTCTATGCTCCGACACATGACATCGATAGGCTGAGCGAAATATGTGTCAAAATGGTGTCTCAAAAGTTGGCGGTGAAGAAAAGGGGGAAGATTCTAGACGTTAGGTTTGAAAAGCCTGCAGTTTCTTGACTATACTCTTAGCTAGTTATGGCGTTTCTTACCAACCATAAAAACGTAACGAAATTAGAGCAAGATTCGGAATCAGAAGGATGCATAATGCTGACTATCTCTCGTTCAATTTCTGAGAATATTTCTAGTCGGATTTTAACAGATGTCACACTGCAATTAAGCAAGGGAGAATCTCATTTCGGCTGTTGATACCAACATTTGCATGATTCTAACGTTTTTTGTTAAACGGCTGGTTAAAAATTACGCCACTAATGAACTCTTCCATTCAACTGTCCAGTGCGTCATCATGGCTATTCTTAGTTATTAACCACTGGCCGTGATATTAGTGCTTATTAACTGTCACAAAGGTATTTATTTTAATCGCAAAATAATTATCTGAATTATACAACTGGAATTATTATGGCTAAAAACAAAGTGAGACTATTAAGAAGCTTAATTTTTAGACGCCACAAATGCATAGTTTTACTCTTGCGTGATATTTGGAGCATATCATTTCACCAGCCTCTGACAAACGCAAATTAACCCTGACTCTACAGCCCACACTACATAACAAAGGCCAAACAACCAAAAAATACCACGTCAACCAAACCCCACGTGCATTTAGCCGGAGTAGACAGGTACTAATAAAATCTGATTATTCGAATTCAGATGAATGCAGTTGTCAAATGCGGTATGAATGACAATTGAATTGGCACCAAATATGTACTATTTGCTGTGCAAAAGTTCATTTGAAGGTCATCAATAAAAGTACTCATTATTTATTAAGCCAGGTGATTGATTGGCTAATGTGTATGCTCGATACCAAGATAATTGGTGAAAAAATATTGGCACGTCTCACGGGGATTGTCATTCGTTAAAATACATTTAGCTCATTGGCTAAAACAGCTAATTGGGCGGTTTATCATCAATACCAATGACGAAGGTATTCAGTGACGTGGAGTTGAAAGCGTCTTAATTTTAAATCTCACACATTGTCTCAAATTTTGGACTTGTGAAATATTTGCATTTCTGTGGTGATTTTCCTAAAAGTTGAGTCATTAATAACACATCGAAAAGAGATTAACGCCAATACCTTGAGGCCTTAACAAAACGAAAGCTAAAGATATGTGGGTAGAAGTCTCGGAATGCTTTCGACTTACCAGTCCTTGAAACAACGGAGCAATTTTCGACACTGAATATTTTTAGCACTATGTGAAACTTGCCAAACAGTCATGCATAGTGGTAGCCTAGCAACAAAGCCACATTGAACACATAACTCTGTTACCCACTACGAATTCAGTAAGTTAAACAATGCTTATTAAAATCCAACCATAATTTCATTCAAAAAAACTTATTTAAAGAACCCAAACAGAGTATTTTTGTGCCCAAATTCCATCACGTCATTAGAAAACACTTTACAAATAAATTTTTCTTAGCAATTGCTTTGAAGTGACATTTCAATAAGCAAACTATAGCGAAATATTTTTTTACCGATGGCTTAGACTCCCCTTAAGATCGAAAAAAGGACAGCCTTTAAGGTTTAAGGTTTTTCGGTTTTTTAGAATGGGGCTTTGTACACGTCTATATGACTCCATGGAATGCATATTCCGGATCATCAGCTGGCTTTGTATTTACAGATGTTCCTCACGCGCAGTGATAAAATTTACGAAGGAGGGTTCAGAGAAGGCGACATAGCTAATGGATGGGTGATTCGGTGGCATTACAGGCTCTATTTTGATACTTTGTGACGGTTTGAGCCATTCCACGGAATGGATGCGATGTTCTCCAACCCTTTCAGTGATCTGCTGATCTGTGAGTCGGGTTGGTTGTGGCCGATATCGTCGTTGCCTTCGACGTCGTTGAAAACAGTGAGCAAGGAGGAGTAGGAGGGCAACTATGAGGGTTAGGCCTGCAACGCCAAGGCAGACAAGGAGCCACGTGTTGACGTGGCTCTGAAGGGGAGAAGAAACAGAGTCGTCTGTGGATGGACGTGTCTGTGGTGGAAATTGGATCCATTCTCGGTGAGACTGAAAGTTAAGGGAATCGATGGTGGTGGTGGTGGTGGTGAAGGTAGTAAGGGATGAGGAGGAGCTGTGCGCCTCGCCTGCATACAGCGCTGCCTCATCGTCGTGATAAGAGGTGCCCTCAGTGTTGGCAAGATCCGCACTCGGCAACCTATAGGAGAAAGGTCGTATTAATAAATTCACCTACCTCTTCTTTCACCCATTCCACTAATTTACCCAACTATCCTTTTATTTATTTTTCAAAGTCAGCAATTTACTTTTTTTACTCAGTTTCATATAGATTCATCAAAATATTCATTACCTAATGAAGTCCCTACATCCAATCAGCCTTTCTCTTAAATTACTGGAATAAATTGCTTGTTGCTTTTCTGGGGAGGAAAACATTGGAATGGAATCTTGTCAAATGGGTATTCGCTTGGTAACTCGAACCTTCCCATTTAAATAGCAGGCGATTGTAAAGTCTTTGCGGTAATTGTCGTTGGTATGGCGCCTGTAATTTCTCATGGGTACATGTTACTTTGCCAGTACGATGCTATTTTTTGTACTCTCGACTGATTTTCTACCGTTTCGCATCCTCATCAAATATCAAGTGTACCTGATGATTGTGATCCCAGCTTGACTGTTTCGCCAACTAAAGATAGTCCGGTTCCAAGGCAGCAAAAGCCAGTTTCTTGTACCGACTATTGTATAGCATTTGAAGAAGGTGTGGTAGAAAAATGCATACTCCAGAAATGGTTTAAAAGTTTTATTATGTTAATGGACCACCCAAGAATGGGTAAATCATGTTAAAGAGGATTCTCTTCCGTTAATCAAAAAGAATTGCATATCACCATTGGCCATAATAATCGGGAATGAACGGTTTACGTATGTTTTGCAGCAATTTCAAATTAAAATGACTTAGGAGCCAGATGACTTACATCACCAGCAACTAAAAATTAGGGGATCTGTTCTATCAGGGTGCATTTATAGATGTTGAAAGGCTTCAAGTACCCTTACTTAATTGCCAGCCAATTCCTTCACATGGTCTACAAAATAGTGACGTTTTTCACTTGGCTGTTGACTGTCTGATCGAGTGAGTGACTTGTGATGAGAAAAGAATTTAATAATGCAACGTCCGTTAAATGAGCAAACCAATCCTTAGGTTATTCCCACATGATCCACCCACTACCCACTCCTCACTTTGAAGGCCTCCATCACCTTAACAGCGCATAACTGTACTGGCTTTGTACGGGCGTGTACGTGTGGTGACTGCAAAGAAAATTACACACTTTGAACTTCTTGCCAAATGCAGAGCCACTAAGTTTGGAATCTACTTAATACGATGGAATTGAAAATGGAAAACAGAAACGTCCTCTCGAGAAACGTCCGGAACTATTGCAAAATTGGGAAGAAAGTCCTCACTCAGAACACATGCCTCCTAGCCCAACCGTGAGAATAACTGCACCTCGGGGTGGGTAAATATTGCAACATCCTTCTTCAAGGAATCGTTCTTTTATTTATTTGGCAATTTACAACTAAACGATTAACTACGAGCTAGAATAAAAAGGAGCCGCAGCGAATGGAAAGGAATCGAATGGAATAGCCAGATCGGGAATAAAAATGAGATGGATCCAGGGATGACTGGTTGTAGGATGCTTGCTGCTAGGGCAAAATGTGTTATAAAGGCACAATTTGCAGGCGTGTGAGTTGTGAAAGGGGCCAAAATAAAGTTATAAGGCTTCTTTACATTATCATAGTTCTCCAATTAGGTGGTGTTGCAATCAATTCAGTTGCTTTTATTTTAACAAACACAAGTGAATCAAAGCTCAAGTGGATTTTATTGTTCATTCATTATATATTTCTTGCATCCTTTGTAAAAAAACCATTTTCTTTCCTTGACTGCCCAATTTTTGTGATTCTAATATTGTTTAAAATTAAAAGGCCAAATCTCACCTCCACCATAAACAACGCGAGACGTCAGCAGATCTTTATCAACAAGTGTAGAAGAGCACAAGTTAAAACTATAGCACACCAATGCAAACCATTAAGGGCGGGATCTTTGCCTCATTGGAACCATTTAACTCGATGTATTGAAGACGTCTGTCAAGATCTGGAATAAGCCCATCGCTTAAAGTAGACTTTCCGCGCTTACTCAGGGCCTCCTGTTTAACAAATTCACTGACTCTGCCACGGTGCTACCATAGAACCGCCAATGGGCCTAAGTTGCGGATATGAGTTTGCCGGTTTATATTGAAGCGCTATGATTATTTTTAACCCTTTGTTTTGATTTTGCGGTCACTTAAAGCACCGCCTTTGCACTTCTATGCGCCAACATTACGTATACTGTCCTACCATTTGTCTTTTTTGTCTTCTGGAATGTCACGGGACGCTGCATTTGTGATAGCAGAAAGCGGACTCTGTCTCATAAGGACACTGGCCCTAGATCACATCGCTTAGTGCTAAAACTTGGTGTGATGGAATATGAGCATGTACTGCAAACAAAAGAACGCGTTAAAATGATGTCTGCCTTTGGCAACTACTTCAGTAATGTTTCCTCTGGAAAAGTTATTAGCAATAGAAGCGACACCAGTAGTGAACCACCTGGGAAAGTTTGATACGGAACGGTCTGCGGCGCCTGTATGAAGATGCCAACTTAGTGAACACTCTATGCCCCTCTGCCTCTCTACTAGCTGACCAGGACCCAAATAGATATGGTTGGGCTCCACTAAAGTCAGAACAAAGTGATGAAGAGGGGCAGATGCAAAACCTTATCCCATCGAAACTGCATTGAACCCCATCATTAATTAAATGACTCTATTTTTTTGGTGAGTGATCTTAGGACTAGCGGTGGACTTACTTAATGGCCAACACCTTCCCTCTTCATTGATACAAGTTGCAAACAGGATAAAAATCCAGAGCGAGTGGGATTACCAAGAGGAGTCAGTAACGTTTCGGTCAAGTTTCCTAGTAGTTTGATGCAAATTTGATGACTGGCTTTGTTTGTGCAGACTACGCTATGATGGTCAACGAGAAGCATTGACCAAAGGAAGCGCCACGGATGACGTTCAAAAGGCGAGGTGGGCTAAGCAATACTTTGATTAGATACTTGTCTCTCTGTTTTAGCTGCATGGGTAGTTAAGTCCTTGCCTTTGGTCTTACGCTGGGCGCCATGGCCTCTGGACCATGACAGTGGCCTCCAGCCATTCTGTACATCGATACGCCATATACTGCCGTAAAATTATTGCCTCTTCCTTCAATAAAGCAGTCTCGGAGCTCTGCAAAGGGCTTTTAATGACCTCATGACAGACGTCAGCAAAAATTATTCAAAATGCATATGGGCATTTTAAAAGGCAGCTACTGGTTTTGTGAAATGGCTTTTTAGCAGGCTGATGAGAGCCTACAGGCGCAATTTTTTGTTTGTTTCTTCAATAAGTAGTTGCGTAAACCAGTAGTCAATTACGTAGGGTTTTAGAATGCATCATATCTTACGAATGTTAGTACACCTCATTTGACAAGGTTTGGAATAATTTTTGCCTATAAAAAGCGTATTCGAAGTATTCACTACTACTACTACCACCACTATTTGGATTGCACACTTAACTAAGCAGACTCCAGTCATTGCAATTCCAGTTTCCCTTTGCAGTGCAGTGAAAGTGTTCTTACGCCCACAGACTTTCCAACATTCAGTACTTTAATAATACGTATTTTTCAGTGTTATCTGAGCTTAAAAGGCTTTCAAGGGTGACCTGAGCTATGCGAAACACTCTCTGGAACCAATTGTCGCATTGGAAGAAAACGTAAAGAGGAAGTATATGAAAAAGTTTAGCCCAAAAGTAACACAATCGGCGGCTGGATAGAAAATCTCAACAAATTACAGCAGACATGTTCCTTTTCGTCCGTCTAAAGTCAGCTGAACTAAAAGCGCATAATACGTCTATGGATTGAATTAAAGGCTACTTCTTCATCTTTTAGGCCAAAAACGATACTAAGGGTAAACTTACTGCCGAAAGAAGGAGTTAGGAGCAAGGCTAATTTTGAAGTTGGCAAGATATTGAATGTCCGAATGCCTAGTGACATGCACATCAGCTCGATGCGACAGACCCGCCGCCAGATCGGATAGTGGAAGCCCGTTGTAAAATACACCTCCAGAAGAAGAGGATAAAACAGTGAGAGCCAGCATGGTTTTTCCTTAAGATAAAAATGAAAAATTTAGTAGACGTACCTGAAAGAACACCACGAAAGGCGTCGGTATAGTTTTCCGTAGCAGGAGCGTGTCCTAACCAAATTGTATGCTGGTCGTTGAACTGTTCGCCGTGTGGACCTTTGAAGCAAGGAAATACAGTCTTGGAATACTACAGAGTCTATCACCTTACCCCCCTTGGCTCACTCTTTTTTATGCTGCAGAGTTTATCGAAGTAGCTATTCACGTGATCTTTGTCAAGCTTTCCTCTCGAACGATCCCACCCATCTACTGGTCTCAGTGTCTTTTCGTCCATTCTTCAATCACGAAAACTTTTTCAGAGCATCGAAGGTTTTTAAAAAATTATTTGATCACCTCACAGATATCATGACTCCCGACCTTACCATTCGAAATGTGCTTCGTGGTTAATTCGTCCACTTCAAGCAGTATCGCAAGTCCATGTCGAAAGATGCGAATGCGATGGTAATTGCCATCATTTAGACGTCGTCGCTGTTCCCTCAGTTGGACCACTCCACCACCCATGTTGAAGACAAGATTAACTAACCCCGAATCCTATGAAAAGAGAAAGATTACGACGCAAATGCCATGCTTACCAAATAAATATGCAGGAAGTCCACATTTCCCTGCTTGGTGTCCACATAAAGGAGAGTGCAACGAGTAGGGGAAAAGGCCTGGGCAACCTGAAGACCCAGAGCGATTTCCTCACGATTCGTGTTTTGGTGGTCGTGAAGGTAAGTGTATTTTACGTAGGCCCGACTCTCTTTCCCATCTCTCGTTGAACTGCCGATTTTTAATGAGGTTCCGGCTAAAAAGAGACCGTGCAAACTCCAAATTCTGATTCGATAAATTACTTTGAATAAATTAATGAAGCGAATTAATATAAAATGAATTCATTTTACATTCTCTCGGGTTATCCAACCGAAACAGAACTTGATTATTGGCCCATAAAAAGTAGCACCAGAGTGCGGACTTGTGAGAGAAAACATGTTGCCTTGTGTCCGTGGTCAGGGATGCGTCTTAGAAAAAGTTTGATCCCAGGAATAGTTTATTTCCTCCATATTTTTAACTCCTTAACCTTGAACACGCAAACTGCCATGCATTTTTGCAAGACAGAGGTTTATAAATGGAAAAGTAATGTGTCGGCGTATGGGAGAAATGGCAAAACAAATTAAACGATAGAGATGGTAGTGGTGGTGCTTCACGAATTTCCCCATCTTTGAGAATGCAACTTTTCCTAAAACTGTAATGCTTAGACAGTTTGCCACTGCACTTGATTGATGGAAAAATTGAGTGCCATTAGACTGTGCTTCCGCTCGGAGCCATGGACTCTGGCAATGTGGATAGCCTTAGCTCTTTTGTATCTGAGTAATGTATATTCTTCCATATTACTGAGACTTCTTACGACTTCGTAAAAGAATCAAGGCCCTGCATTGGTGTCAGCGGCGGGCAAATCCGATCCTAGAGAAGAACTACTCCGATTTCTATTTCTCAGTACCAAAGCTTAACGCAACAAAAAGTGCATATATAACGCATGGGAGAATCTATGCTGGCCTTTAACAGAAGGGTTGAAAATGGTGCTTATTTCCGGTTACTACCCTAGTTCCCATATTCTTAGGATAGGCTATCCATACCTGAGGAGACGTTAGCTGTAAACTATCTGGAAAAGTTCGCTACAAAGCTGGCTATGATACCTACATGAGGATACAGATTGAGTAAGCGAGCGTTACCTCCTTTATCTCTCTTATACCTGGATATAATCCAGATGGATAGATAACTGAGCAGCTCTGAAGTGGAAGCAATGTAGAAAGGAGGAATAGCTGCAAGACCTTATCCTCACGAAACTACTTTGCAATCCCTTCCATTATTAAATGACTGCTTTTAGGCTAGTATTTTCACAACTGGCAATGCGAGCATCAAACGGCCTTAATGTAGAGCATCGCCCAGTCTTGATAAGTATGGAAATCGAGCAAAATCCCCTCAGAGTATGCTTTCCCTAAAGGAGCAAAACTCCAGACCCACTGGAATTGCAGTGATGCATCGACGACATTGGGAGTGAATGTCTTCGAGTGTCCACTGACCCACTGCTGATACGTAATGGTCGACGCGGGAGGCTAACCATGGCGGGCGCCGAGACAACACTTGAAAGAGGTGAGAGTTGTATATCGTTAAGATAGTTTGTTTAACTGAATTTTTGTCAAAAGAGAGCTTGGATCTCCACAGATTGCACTTCCTCTTGGCGGCCTGGCCCCAAGCCATGCCGCTAGTCCATGCTCTTCTGCACGTCAGTAGAATGTCTTCTGTCATACTACAGTGACTTCTTACGACCTCAGGAAAGACTCGACGCGCTACAAAGCATTCTGAGATGCAATTAAAGGGTGCAGCACACTTTCTCTTCAGCGCATAAGGTATTTTTATCTACCTTAGCCTTATCATTGCCAGAGCTGGAAAAGTGTTTTAGTTGTGTTCTGAGAGGCTAATTTTAATGGTAAGGAGAGGTAAAGTTGCATAAAAAAAAACTTGGTCTAGAAGATGTCATGAAACTAAAAGCTTCATCTAAATCTTTACAGAAAACAACTTACGTCAAAAAATAAGACCTTGTAAAAAGGTAAAAACCGCCGAAAAAGGTGTAAAAAAATTGATGATAAGGACAATTAAACAGACTGTATTGGATATGTTTGAATCTTTGATTTTTATTGCCTCTGCAAGACATGCTGATTGATAAATTGTCTTAATTGCGATTATAACCACCACCAAATCAAACCGAGCAGGGCAGATAGAATTGTATTTACTGCTTTTCCGCTCATCTTGCAAAATGTTATTATAAAACAGAATAATCGCAATTTGTGCCTTCGACCATAAAACAAACACTGATTTGTAGGCCAAAGTATATATTTTTTTTTAGTAAAATCAATCTGTTTGGTACATTTGAGATCAAAATTTAGCTTTCTTCTCAACTCTGAAAGCCGTATTATGATAGCAAAAGACATTGGAAGCGTTATTATAAGGTTTAGTTGAACGCTTATGCAGCTCTCTGAGTCTCCTCTTAAGCCGGAAGGAGACTTTATGCTAGGAGGACTTGTGCACCGCCGACGTACAGAAGGGTTAGAAGGCATCTGGCATGACCCAGCGGACATGCCTTCCAGCGAATTACAAAGGTGGAGCCTTAGGCGCGAAATCAAAGCGAAGTTATTTTCAAATTATCTCTCAAGATGTGGTTTATTCTATTTGGAGACACAGTTGAATTAGCTTCAGATTGGAGCATTTGATGACTTGAATACAAAAAATGATGTGAAACGTAGTGAGTAGCTTCAAGATACCAGGTTGGAATATTCAACTCATCAAACATATGGCATTTTCGTTCATGAAGGGCGATAAATCCTGACATACAACTTACGTAAATGGCATCGATTGCCAGTAAATGTGGTCATTTCACAGGAGCACCTTAACGACGCCCAGACATGCAGGCAGACACCACCGTTTAGGCAGTAGGGCAGTCGTCGCTGTTGAGCGAAAGCTGTGCACTTTGGTGCCTCCGAAGGGCGCTCCAGGCATCCCTGTACCACCTGCCACTTGCACACCAGACTGGTCCGATTCTCACCCATCGTCACCTCCGCCAACGTCCCAATGTCCATTTGAGTTTGATTGTTTACGCCGAATCCACCAATACAACCCTAACGGAAATAGTACTTGCTACTAGTAAGTAGACAATTTTTGCCTCTATGTAGGCAAATGAAGAGGTGAAGTTATTTCCCCATGTGGAGGCAATTTAATTTGCGTAAGTTTAACTTAAGGCTGTCTTTATCAAGTAAGCCAGTAGTGTCTGCAGCTTTATGCCTAAAGCGACATATTAAGGGATAGATGATGGCGAAACTTTTACATAAATTGCATTAAGAGTACTCCCAACAGAAGACAAATTGGATAGTATGATTTTTATTATTTTTTTGGTCTTTGAGCATTGTAAGCACCAAGTTATGGTAACTTTTGAGGCAAAAGAAAATAAAACTCCTAAACGATATGACAAAAAAGTGCGGAATTAGGGGGTGAGGACTGAGGGTATTATCAGCTCCAATTTATGACACAATAATAGTCCACTCGGCAAGGTCTCTAGTTACTTCAGTGGTCTCCGATTTTACCCATTAAGGTTGCTTGCAGTATTTTCGGCCTGAGACATCCCAATGTATGTATCGTGCAGTGGGAAGTACACCAGCGGCTAAATTACAATTTTGGCTGATGTCTTTGAAAAGGGAAAATATTGGCACTCCTAAAAATAGTTATGTAACATTGATGGAAATCTTTTACCAAATGATTGCGTGCTCGGCGTATATTATGCATTGCCTTTGATTCTCTCAGTTAAAACTAAACTACGGTTAACCGTAAATGCGCAGATAAAGCAACCTTTTAACAGTCTTTTGTCTAACCCGCTTTGTGATAAGAAATTCATCGCCATCGAAGGCGCTTTATTGTTAAAGGCAAAATAAAAAAGTCTATGTGACAGTGAATATGATTTTTATAAATTAATCAAAGAGAATGCTATGAACCACACTTGGAATGAAAGGGAACTGAGTCAAAATATTTTAAAGGTGATAAATTAGGCTCTATTCTTGGTATATGTCAGGAGAATCGAAAAACGTATTCATAAATTATTCCGGGTACATCCTTAAGATTTGAAAGG